ATTCCGTCGTCCCTCCCCCCCCCCCAAACCAAAATTTTTTTTTTTACAAAATAACAACACCAACAAAAACAATGAAATGCCCCATCAACTAAATGGCAAGTTAAAGTGAAACAAAGAGTGGTTTTTGCGTGAAAAGGTCAGGGCTTTATGCATAGGTTCTCGGAGCATTTTCCATCTCCCCGAATGCGTGGTGTTACTTTTTATTATTCTTATCATCCATGCGTCAAAGCATGTATGTTAACAATGGCGTAGGAAGGGTGATGCGGTCCACTCCCTGCGGCACTTTTTTTTATGTGTGTGCCTGATATTGAGGAGCGGCATTTTCGGCAAACTGTTAAGGTTTTTTAGTACGACAGAGACGGAAACAATCCTGGCTCACGCCGGGTGGCATTAATTTTAACCCTAGCTACGCCACTGAGTCTGAGTGTACTATAACTAATGGAACGCATGATATAGTTGGCTATCTTTTTTCTTTTTTTTAAATAGCTACATTCAACAATGCGATACAAACCAATTACACAAAAAAAAAAATCTTGAATATTTCTCGGCATCCGATGTGTTAAGCAGCAATTACAGCATAATTTTCCATGTCAGCATATATATTATGTTTTTAAATTGGTCGTTTGGCGGAAGTTGTTCATTCACTGACGTCACTGATTTAATATATGTTTGTCCAATGGCTTTGCTTTGAACACCATATAAGTTTGTAATAGTTGTTTTAAAGTTTTCCGTCTGTACTTTCCTTCGTAATAAAACTAGACTGAGGATACTGATATCCCTGTTGTAGCCGGAATCGATACGTTTCAATTTACATTTTTGGAGCCCCTACCGTTTTTTACGACTCATTTAAATGTTGAATAATAAGCAGATATTGATATATGATGGCGGTAATAAAAAGTCCAAATTTAAACAGATGTATGTGTGTGCCTATGTGTGCGCGTGCAATTTTGTGAGTTCGCCCCGGGGGGGGGGGGCCGGGGGGGAAGATATCCATTTTTTGGGTTTGGGGGGGTGGGGGTGGTGGCAGGGCCGACGCAAGGCACCGGCAACTCGGGCAGTTGCCTGGGGCGCCACGTACTTAGGGTGCCATGAGCGATCTTGAAAAATATGAAAAAGCATTGCATGTGGGTGCCATGGAAGAAGTATACTTTTTTATTGCCACATGTTTGTTTGCCATACTCCTTCAGTCGTATGCTCATGCACGGGAGGTGGTGGCAAAACTCGCTTCTGATAAAGGCGGCGACGGCTTCCTTCTCAGGGGCATCGACTTCTTTTTGCCTTTTCCGCCATTTATTTTTATGATTATATTTAAAACGGAGGCAAAAGACAAGCTTGCCCGGGGCACCAGCAACTATAGGACAGGCCATGGGGGTCGTAGGGGCGGGGGGCTTGATTCTATCGTGAACGTACTTGTACTTGTTTTCTTCTTCTTCTAGGTTTACAATTAATTTGTTGCCCCTCCGTATAAAAATAAAGTGCCGCCCGTAGCGGACCGCCCCCCCCCCTATGCACGCCATTCTTACGCCACCGAGCAGTGACGTACCTTGACAAAATGCTGACAGGGGGGAACTCTCAACAGTGCGCCCCCTTAATATACAAATAGTTTTTTTAATACTTCTGATAGGCGGGTAGATCTCGGTCAAACCGGATGTAGATAATATATATAAATGAAAGATACTGATTTGCGGGTACTGATTGCAGGTTTGAGAGTAACGGTGGTAGTTCAGATTTTTATATTAGATTTTTTAAAAAAAAAAAAGCTTACGTTTGAGGGAAGTCTCTTGACCTATATATAGTGATATGGTCCACATTTTCAACCTGTTTACAATGTTACGATACAGGCGACCCTGAAACTCAAGGGCACGCCGTCTTTTAAGAGAATACTAGAGTGCCAACTGGCCCAACTGCTTACTGAACAGCTATAATGTTACGATCAGTTTCGCTCTGAAGTAACGGCACGGTGTCCTTGTTTACATGTTGCCAGTGACGATTCATCTATTTCAGGCCTGCACAACTCAAAATATAAGACGGCCGTAATACTTTTTGAAATACTTATGCGGGCCGAAAGTTAATAGGACAGTGGGGAAAACTATTAAGAAAAATAATAAAGATTATTTCGCTACTTCGCGGACAGCAAAGTGGGTGCTGACGGGCCGCATGCGGCCCGCGGGCATAATGTTGTGCAGCCCTGATCTATTTATAGAAAAAGTTTCAAATCTAGATCATTTAAAGAAATATAAGCTCTCATCGGCGTACCTTGACAACGTTCCCCCGGGGAGAACTCCCAATAGTGCGCCCTTAACACCCACCCACCATTTATACATGGATATATAGCTTACATTTATAGCGATACAAAGACACACTGAAAGCAGCACTAAAGGCCTTCAGCATCAACCCTTTTGAATGGGTACAGACAGCGCAGGACAGAGCCAAGTGGAGATCAGCTGACAAGAAGGGAGCTCAATCTCATGAAGCCAGAAGGATAGCGACAGCCGAGACACGTAGGATACCCCGATAAAGCAACCTTAGACCACCGACCACTATCCCCTGTTCACGGTGCCAGAGACTATTCCGAGCACGAATTGGGCTAGCATGCTACCTACGCATTCACCGTGACCCCCCCCCCCTCTCAAACCAAACCGGATGACTAGATGGTCCTTGTCGATCTTGGCGAACGAGAGGACATATTTATCCTCAAAAGTCCTTCCCGGGGCAGTCAACTCCCTTCTAACCCCTTAGGTAAGCCACCATAATCTCTTGCATGTGATCGAATATTTATTTCTTGGAGTCGCCCCCGGCGGCACTAACCCTAGCTTCACCACTTCCCCAACACCTTTGCCTTGGGCAGTTTGGGGCGTTTGATATAGGTCCTATTCATCAAATTATGATATTTGCTCATTTAACAGCCAATTCGACAGTACTTCATCAATTAATAGAATTTACACAAGTCTTATTATTAAGACGCCATATTATTTATTAATAATAAATGATACATATTATTCATTTTACAATATAATTATAATTTAAAATTTAATTACGATATAATTTATCTATCGAAGCCAAAGCTAATTCAAACATTTTGTTGCTTATCTTTCTGTGGCATGGATGATAAAATTATAATGATCTAAAATCTAAACACTTCAATCAATAAAATTATCCAGTATTTAGGAACTGATTACATATTTATATTAATAATTAATATACTTTATATACTATCTTTTCTTGTTTCACAACATACTTTACATTTTTATTTTTAAGGAACCAAAATAACCTAGAATTTGACCTTCACCTCTCGCCGGCGAGTTCCTACCATTACCAAGGGTGTTGTGATCACTCGCATCATACGACGCAGGCCTACATAATCTCTTGTTTTGAACTTTGAATTTTAAAAAAAGCAGATAAAAGTCATGGTAAGTATATTAAATTTTCAAATGCTAGAGAGAATGATGGGCCGAATGATGTGTTAAATATGTGTTAAGGGCATATTTTGGTGCAATAGTCAATAGTAAATAATAACCTGTCTTCAATCATATTCAATGACAGAATTGACTGGAATGGATGCTCGGAGTCGAAAATAGCTATTTTTAAGATTTTTTGAGATCGTCATAGTAGTGCAAGTGAAGTTTCCGTTTTTTGAAGTGATTGATTATAATGGCCTAAGCGAGACTACAGAGAGTTTCAGATTATTATTAAGAGAAGACTTTGAATTTGAAGAGATCCCCCAGCAAATTCATATATAATATAATATATGTGTGAGCAGCTGTTTTCTTTGATGAAGATTAAGTTGATTAACAAAACAGCACAGAGGAGTCTTCACGCTGATGAACACATGCAGTCCATCATGAGAATCTCAATGACACATATCACATAATGTAAATGAACGTACTTGTTTTTGTAGCCAAGAAAATGTGCAGAAAATCCAGCTCTAACAAATTGGCATAAGAACGGAAATGGTAAATGGGTATGCCAAAAATGATTTTTAATTATTAATTTTTTTTTTTCTGTTTTCAATTATATAAATGTTTTTTTTTTTAAATATCAATTTTATGCTTATTGCCTGTTCGGGCCACAACCTTACATGTGATTTTAGTTAAATTCTAAAAAGTAGACTTCGAAGTAGCAAATACAAAAATAAAGGGTTGGGTAAAAATAAATATAACACATGTAAATTACTAAGTGTCGTACAGTAACTGCAAACAGTAGTTACACTAATAATGGGTCACTGAGGGGAGTGGGGTAGAAAATTTGACTTTTTTTTGTTGCGTAGACTATACGGATTGTCCATCCTCGTATTTGTTTGCTTCTGTGCTATATGATGTAATTTTGTGACATAATTAAAGAAACGGAGAAAACTAAAGAAAGCATTCTTAATTGTTCCGTGAAGCAATATTTGATTTTGACCTGTTTTATAGGATTAGATAGAGCCTTTGAAATCTATGTTTGGAACAAAACAAACAGCTGTACGATTTTGAAAACACAGCTTTTCATAAAAAATAAATCTCAATTTACTTGGTAGATTTCTTGAAAATTAATACGCCCTGATTTAATACGAATTAATACGATCTGACTTCGAGTTTGAACCAGGTTAAATTTCACGAGTAACTTTATTTTTACCAGCGACAGACTGTGATAATTTGATCTGGAGGTTCACCCAAATATTGATAGCTATAGCAGATACACATCTGCAAATCAAAGTGACAGCAGAATTCAATATAAACATCAGTCATGTACTTTAGAAGTTGCCTTTTTTGACATTGGCTAACTCGTTTCCGCTAGATGCGCGATGAGTGTTATACATGTATATAACTGTATGTTTGTTTATTTACTATTAAGATTATACTGTATGTTTTTGTTTTACTATTAAGATAATGTATTTAGCGATTTTGTGATGATATTGTACGATTTTAAGAGTTTGAGGGTAAACAGGTCTGCTTATATCAAGCAAATGATTCAAACTTATTTTTAATCTCTATCAACAGCCAAAGTTGATTCTAACAATTCTTATTTGTGAAACAAAATTACTAACCTAAAATAAATGACACACTAATTTTTTGGTCATATTCATATGGTACTAAAATACATATACAAGGAAAAGCATCGCTTTGTCTGTGTCCGCATGGGTTTTGCCTCTACGTGGCACGGCGGACTAGTAAGGCAGACTTGACTGCCCGAAGCGAAAATTATTGGACACCTGTTTGCATCGTGTAAGTGAAAAGGAACAATTCTACCAAAACTATCCGTGTATACAAATGTTAAACTATGGGTATTTAGTAAGTAAAATGCAGATATATTTATTTAAATTATATATGTGAATGCATTTTGATTCTCTTGATTCTCCCCATATTCAGGCTGAACCACTTACAGTTGTTATCACCGGTGCAGCTGGTCAAATAGCTTATTCATTACTCTACTCCATTGCAAAAGGAGATGTTTTTGGGAAAGATCAGGTAAATTTCATCAATTACAAGTTACAAACTATGTTTAAGTGATTTTATATATATATATAAGTAAAAGTTTCATTAGTCTAGTTATGTTAATAAAGAATAATTTATACTTTATATCTTTATAAGTTCATGGCACTGGTAGGAATTAATTATAATTATTTAATTTTGTATAGTATTTAAAAATGCTGTCATAGTTCAAATTAATTAAACATGTAAATTTAAAAAAAAAAAAAAAAAAGAGGAAGACATCTATTAAATGTAAAAACATGGCTGTGAATCGCTGTGAAAGTCACTGTGAATGTGTTTCACTTTCACAAAGTTACGAGGTAACATTACATAACCTGAGAAATGTACTTGAATTATTCTAGCCTGTGATTCTTCATTTGTTGGATATTACGCCGATGATGGGTGTATTGGAAGGAGTAATCATGGAATTGCAAGACTGTTCAATATCTCTAGTGAGAAGTAAGGTTTACATTGTGTTTTAGTTTTTTATGGTTTGCTGTGTTTTGAAGGTGTATTTGTAACATTACTCAAAAACAGTATCCAGGGATGTAAATTTCATATTCTAATTAATTTAAAAATGGATCTTGTGACTGGATTTTATTATCTTCATCACATTCATAAAAGTGATAGTAACTAGTTGTTCAAAGTCAACATAATTATAATTTATCTTAAAAATAAAGTAAAAAGTCTTCAAACTATCAAATGAGGTTTGAAATAACAGTTAAATTATATCTCTCACCATAATCTTTCTTAAAATCTAATTCATAATCCTCTGCATCAATTGATTCATGAAAAATGGCTCACAAATGTGAAAATAAGATAGCCTATGGTTGTTGCCATGACAATACCTTAAATTCAAAATGTGTTCTTGTCTGTATTTTTTACAGTTTCATTCAAGGCTAAGTTTATGTGTGTTTTGAAGAGTTTGAGTTTTTGTCTATAAACATAAAGTTATATAAAGTTCTATAAACATTAGGAGACATTAGTTGCAAAAGATTTAATACCTGCACCAAAATACGCCTAACGTTTATAATAAAATTATGGTCAAGCAATTTTCTTTGATTTTTAATACCATGTTGTTTTTTGGTGTCCTGTAATCTTATTCTGATTAATTAAAACTAGGCTTACACTGACTTATTCCCCATAATTCAAATAGTAGCACTATAATTGTATAAGTAAGAAATCTTATAGTCTTTTTAATGAATAACGTACAATTGTTACCATATACAAATTTTTAATGCATAATTTCATAATAATGGGATTTAACCCATGTGGTGAGGCCGGGTAATTTGGGCATCTCTCAATTCGCTCATCAGAGCACCACCCTTCTAAAAACCATGTTATTTTTTGTGGCTATTCTATTGAATGCCTTTCTGTCTATTAGATGTAATTGCCACTGCTGACCCTCTGGTTGCTTTCAAGAATGTTGATGCTGCGTTTATGGTTGGTGCCATGCCTCGCAAAGATGGTATGGAGAGAAAGGATTTGCTGAAAGCCAACGTGAAGATTTTTTTTGAGCAGGGTCAGGCCATGGACAAAGTTGCCAAAAAAACTGTAAAGGTAAATTTATGAAAAAGACTCAGTGGTATGAAAGATATTTATTTTTTAAAAATCTGACCACCACATCACTCATTAAAGAATTTTCTGACATGTCTTTTTTTATGAATATTTTTATTGCACTATTCATTTTCTGTTTGGTTTGCGTTCCGCTTAAATTGTCCTTTTAATTAAGAGAACTTATCAATTTCTAAATTAATTTTTTCTTCAACTGATTAGAAATTTCATTTCTTCAGTTTTTATTTAAATTTATGCTTTTGAAATATCCAATTTATAGACTTACACATTAAATTTTATTTACATTAATTTCCTTTGATGGTAAGCATAAATTTTGGTACATTTTTAAATGTACATTTTATTTAATTATATTACGTTTTACTCTTTAGGTATATGTCTATTTTTTGTTTAACATTTTTTAAACCTAGGTTTTAGTGGTCGGCAATCCAGCCAACACGAACGCCTGCATTTTGAGCAAATATGCTCCATCCATACCTAAGGAAAACTTCACATGTCTTACCAGACTTGACCAGAACAGAGCTCAAGCACAGGTATGGAGAACAAATGTTCATTATTGTTATTTTAAGGTACTTTTTTAATATTTGTTTGTCATTCAGCGCAAGTTAAAATTACGGGTTGCATCATACAAAATAGAAAAGAATATAAACTATAAATGACATGGTGCACCCTTCTAGATTTTTTTATGCATGAGTGTATTTTTTAAGTTCATAACTTAAGTTGTTTTATATGCTACATTTTTGCTTTAAGTTCCAATATGGTTTTGCCTTTTGTCAATCTCTTTAAGACTTAAATTGATTTAACTTTTTGAAGTACAGTCATAATATACTTATTTTGCAGATTGCAGCCAAATTGAATGTTACAGCTGACAAAGTCACCAATGTCATAATCTGGGGTAACCACTCATCCACTCAGTTCCCAGATGTTGCTCACGCCAAAGTTGACCTTAATGGCAAAGTTGTGCCTGTTCGAGAAGCAATTAACGATGACAGCTATTTGAAAAATGATTTTGTTGCGGTGAGAAAATGTAGCTGAAGTATAATTCTTATTAAAAAAGAAACCTTAATTGATACCATTCATTTGTCTAGGATATAAGAGTAGTGACTTTAAAAATATATGGTAAAAATTTATTAATTTGTATTTTGAATGCATTGCCAAATTTGTAGTTAAGAGGGTATTTGAGAGAAAATACATAAAAAGTGCTTTGGTGAGGCCAGGCCTCTACAACTTCCCTACCCAATCCCCCTTCATTCCCTTACACCTTAAAATGTACATTCCTTCAATCTTTCACATCTTACCCTCTACACCCCTGATCCCCAGCCCTGGTAACGTTTGCTTCTATAAAATGGGCTTGCAGCTCAAGCAAGTTTGGCGGCATTGTTAATCTACACTCGGCGACCACAACCCTTATTGGTGTTGCATCCCTTTACTCTCTCTCTCTCTCTCTATACCCTTCATTAGCCTTCCACGCTTTCCCCCTCCTTTGCTATCTAATATTTTTATTTTTGTGACCTGTTAAACTTTCTCTATTATGACCTCTATGACCTACGTAGAGTCATTAGTCTAGTTAAAGGTGTCAGATCTCATTGTTTTATGTTTTATACCTTTTCTTTATTAGAGTGTCCAGCAAAGGGGGGCTGCTGTGATCAAGGCTCGCAAGCTGTCCAGTGCTATGTCAGCTGCTAAGGCTGCTGCTGATCACATGCATGACTGGTTCTTTGGAACTAAAGGGGTATGTCTTGACTAATATTTTTATGGTTTTTATGTGTTTTGAACACTAAACTTATTATATCCATTTCACTATATTTCATTTTCATCTACATGGTAATTGTTTTCAAATATATTTTTGTCTTACTGTATGTGAAATACAATAAAGATATGTGAAATCTTAACATATGTGTAAATATAATATGCAAATATACGTAAATACTTTCATTTGAGAAAGAGCCTTCATATAATAACCATAAAACCATTGCCAATCCAGGAGTATAACTATTGTTTGGCAATAAAGGGGATTTCATCTCTGGTTTGGCCAGTGGTTTAAGTATGAGATTTTTGGTGGGTAGGTTTTTTCGGGGTGAGTAGCAGACTCAACAACCAGCCTGGGAGTATGAGTTGTAACAGGACCGAAGAAGTAATTTCCAAAAATTAGTTATAAAGAAGTGAAAGAAGACTGATGGCAGCCGAAAATACATCTGTGCAAAGCCTTTATCAGTTATAAACCTCATTTGTGCTATGAATTATATGGAGCCTTACTTTAATACTTTGTAGAGCACTGTTGTATATATATATATATATATTTTTTTTTTTTCATTTCTATAATGAAATGTCTAAAATTTATCACAGGATAACTGGGTGTCAATGGGTGTCATCTCAGATGGCTCTTATGGCATTCAAGAAGGACTCATGTACAGCTATCCAGTGCGCATTGCAGATAAAAAGTGGACCATCGTCCAAGGTCTGAGCATCGATGATTTTGCCAGGGGGAAACTGGATGCCACAGCTGCGGAACTGAAGGAAGAGTTGGAGGCTGCTATTGCTGAATGTACTTGACTGCTCACTCCAAACAGTCAGGTGGCGGGGTGGAGCTCTAGACCTGCCAACAAGTTGTAATTTGAGCTGGGGTCTGATAGATGTCTGAAGTTTGTTTATAAAGTGCTTAACTGTTGGGGAGGGCGGGCTATCAACTTCAATAGAGCTGAAACTATATGATCAGCTTAAGATTTTCAGTTTTAAATGAAGAGAAATGAATGCTGCAAGGTTTGATTTGGGAATGAGTACTTATTTATAGAAGATACATTGGGAATCTTTAACCAGAAGCTCAAAACTTAATGTCATTTTTGTTTTTTTGTGTTATTTCATTTATGGTGTTAATGATTGGCTAGAGTTGTTTATCTAGAGAATCGTAGACCACATTGTTTATAACATTGCTGACTTAAACAACTAATGGAAATAAAATTAAATGTAAAACTAACATTTTTGTTTGGTTGTAAATTACCTAAATTCCTAATTGTTCTAATTTTTTAAACTGTGATGACAATGAAAAGCTGTAAACATTCTTCCAGATGAAGCTCTATGAAGATGAACGAAGGAATAAAATACTTAAGAAGAATTAGTGTCTGTGCATTACATGCATGAAACAGATGACTTTTTCATTGCTCGGCACACTTTGGGTGGGACTGCATTGAAGTGCGCCACAAGAGATGATGGTAAAATAGTGGGATATGTTGAGAAAATTAACATGACTGTTCAAAGTGTAGATGTTCAAGCAAATGATGCTTATGGCGTTATTCAGCAACATGCATTGTGTCAGGAAACCTTGGGCATTAAACTTATTTGAACTCATCGTCTCAATTATTGTCCGCTCCGTGAATTTATGATGAAACTACAATACACAAGCGTTACATCGTGACAATACACAACTGTTGTGTTGTTTAGGTTCGGTTGTAGCAAGTTATTTTGCCATTTTGTAACAAAATCAAATTAATTAAAGGTCGGGGGTAAATGTATTTTAAAACTGTAATAATGTAAAGTTAGTTATTTTTACATTTAATTTACTTTATTTTAAAATTTCCTTTACTGGTCTTGAAAGCTACAAACCTGAAGATCACTTGATGAAAATCAATATCCTTTAATGTATCACTTTCAATTTTTAGTAAGGCTAGATCAGAAAGCCATGACTGTCCCATGGTGGATCGCAAATTGTTCGTGATAAGCCTTAGATATGAAAAGCTGCGCTCACATGAAGCCACAGACACACAGATCGTAAAAAAACTATTGAAGGCTTAGGGAGAGTATTGAAAAAGATTCTAGAAAGTCCCATTCAGCTATGAATTTCAAATCATCAAATACTGACCAGTCCATGACTTTGTGAAATTTGATATCAGCTGCCTTTAGGTGTCTTTTAATTCTTGGTTTTTCCTTTAAAAGTTCATCTTCTGATAGTTCATCATAGAAAGAGGTTAATTTTGGAACGGGCACTAATAACTCTTCTTCGCTTGCTGATAGTAGACTCTTGGGTTGAACAGATCCAAAAGTATCTCTTAATTCCTTGATTGCTCATGATCTGATCTGGAGAATGAAAGCGATCAATACATTCCAGCATCTCCCTACAGAGAGAGTGCAGCATCTACTATTAGTTATTTTTCTGCCACACTCTTCTAAACCTTAATCTTCTATCTATAGAAATTCCATATTTTTCCTGATTTTGAAAGTGCCTTTTCAATTGCAAGTGACAGCGCTTTTTGTGCAGAAACAATCTTAAGGTCTTTAGGGTGGTCACCACTTAGTGAAGAATAAATCTTTTAATAGTCTGCATATACTGCTGTGCAAGATTCAATTACTCAAGTAGATCAGCCCAAAGTAGAAGATAAACGTGAGATCACAGAGAGCATGTAAAAGACTTTATGCTGTACATCTTGTATCCAAATTTTCCATAGGATCCCATTGAGCTTCAATCGCCACCACACATTTATCAAACTTATCTTTCACTATTTTAACACCAGCATGATGAGCACTCCAACGTGTTGAGTCTTCTCACTGTCATTCCCGTGTTTTCAGTTAAAACATCCCACCGATGGGTGGATGCAAAAAAGAAGGAACATATTCTCTCAGAAAAATGTAGTGCATGAAGCATTTTCGGCAAAAGACTGTTGACCACACAGATTAAGTGAATGGCCCACACATCCCTTAAAAATCGCGTTCTTATTATTTCTTTTCAGAATTGCCTAAACACCCCCATGGATTCCAGACATTGTGGCAACATTATCTTTACATTGAGCTTTGCACATCATTGTCTAGTCCATCACGTTAAGATTTGTCAGAACTAAGGAAATGGAAAAATCCAAGAAAGTCATCTCTCACTTCAACGTTCCCATTTTGGATTTTCTCCTATCTGATCACTTAAGGCATTTGATCATTGTGTGATAGATCAGGTGTACTTTCGAACATAATTAAAAAATACATCGCAGCCTTTATATCCATGATAAGAATCTCCTTCACATGATGTGCAAGGACATTGATAAATTATTTGTTGGTTTCTGGTAAGAGGTAAGATGCGGATGCTTTTACTGTATATATAGTTGTACTCCTCTTTAGTCTCCTTAGGTGCTCCTTTAGCAATTTGTCATATTTAGATGGCATCTCAACCATTTCAAGAACGTTTCTTCTATTCAATGAAGATTCCTTTTTGTTGTGCCCACGAAATGCCATATTTTGCTTAGAAAGGAACTATGTGATTTCGAGCTACCTGTGCAAGAGATCCCTCCACTTTTTCTTCTCCCTGAACAGCTTTAAACATAGGCTATATATAATATCTATGATCTGATCTGTAGTGCAGTATGAAAGCAATCATTAAAATCCAGCATCTCCCTACTGTTTTCTTCTCGCGGAGAGAGTCCAGCATTTATTAATTGATCTCATCATGCCCCATTCTCTTCTTTTAGCTTCCGAAGTGGCTATTCGCACCCGAATACCAGAAGTGAAAGGTTGGGGTTAAAAAAAGCTATTTGAAATATTATTGTTGGGTGTGTAAGATAAAATGAGGTATCAAATGAAAGATAATTGAATGGGCTATATGTTTGTAAAATTACTTCTTCAGTTTAACTAAAATAAACTAACACAAATGAAATCCGATGGGATTTAGTCTAAAGGGACCCTGGTCCGAATAGCGGCTTTGCGTACCTGGGTCCCTTTTTGAACGCATTATTTTGTTTTACTATAGTGCGTTCAAAAATAAATTTGACGCAAAATTTTATTATTGGATTAAACCAGGGTCTCACACTCGCGGCCCGCAAGACGATATTTTACGGCCCGCTACATGACAGCAATGTTTAGTATTAATGCGGTCCACGCGTTTTCCTCATATCTATAATGTGACCCGCCGCGAAGGTTTCAGTCTAATTCTTATTTTTTTATTTTTTATTTATCTAGGTTTGGACGTTGGTTATAATGGTAAAAACCGTTTTAAAATCGGACTAAAAGTTTTTATTTTATAGCATTTTATGAGACAAACATGGCCAAAGTGCGGTTTTGTGAAAAGTTTAAAAAGTCAGTTGATTGGGTAATGCACAATTACCATAATTGTGTAAATCGAAGGAATCTGTTTCAGTATCAAAGAATATCTATTTGAAATTGCCGCTAGTGATTACGAGTGAGGGAAATTCCGAGCCTGTCAGCTTGGTCACTTTTAAAAAAGGGTTAGTCAAAAAGGCATTTTTTACAATAAAAATTCATTCTCCCTGCAATAGCATCTTCCTTTGCATCAATAATTTATAACTATTGCCTGCTCCTGCCTACTGTTTGGATACGTTTTAGCCCTCAAAGCCTTCATGGAGAAGGGTGGGGTGGTTGTTCCTGTACTAAGTGATCCCAAATGGCTTTTCTTATTGACATTACACAGGAATATACTCAACAAGAAGTTACAAGAACAAGGGTACCTTGCCAGTGTTTCTTATGACAACGTCAGGGCATTCTGCACAAAACTTGAGTTATGGTTGTTAGAGAAACCTCTGCCATTTCCCAAAAAATGCAAATTACTCATAGACTCGGGCACACCATTCAGTAGTAAGTGTAGTGATGCCATTGCAAAGCTACATGAAGAGTTTGATCACGTTTTTAGACTACAAAACACACAGAACAACTTTTCAACGTTTTGCTGATCCTTTCTCTTTTAATGTGGAAGATGCCCCAACTCCAACCCCCTCTTTTTTTGGGGGGGGGGGGAGGGGGGTTCAAATGGAGCTGATTGAACTTCAGTGCAATTCTAAGTTCAGGGAGGTTAATGGAAAAAACAGACAAAAATGGACAATTTATAAGAGCATTGCCCTCCACCTTCACTGAGATTTCTAGGTTGTTCAAGCGGATCATGTGCCTTTTTTTTTTGGGGGGGGGGGGATACCTATCTGTTTGAAAAGCTCTTTTCCATTATGAACTTTAACAAGTCGAGGTTCAGGGTCAAACTTACTGATGAGCATCTTCAAGCTATACTGAGAGGTTCATTAGCTTCCTCACTCAAGCCAAATGTTGCTCAGCTTTGAAGAAGAAGCGTTACCAGGTTTTTTGGCAACAAGGAATAGGGGGAAGAAAGTGAAGCCTAGTATTTGAGAACCCATAATGTTTTTATTTGTTATTAATAAAGGTTGAGCACAATGAAACAGTTGTACTTTATTGAATTTTTAATAGCTTTTTTTGTGGAATACTTGATGCGGCCCAGTTTCATTCAGACTCTGCCTCCTGCGGCCACCGGGTGATTTGAGTTTGAGACCCCTGGTTAAAAAAAAATTACAGTAACAATGTTGATTTATATTAATAATTTGCTATATATATTCCGTCAATATGAAAATTGATCATTATCAACTGTGATTAGCCTAATTATAGTTTATTTCTGATAATGATTTAAAGCCATTATTGATTTAAATAATTTTTTAAAATGATTAACTTTATTGAATGTTTATTTTTATTTTACATTTTTATTCCTGTTGGTGAGTAGTTGGCGGAGAGCAGGAACTGTTTGCAACACCTCCCCAACTGATTTAACATGGGGCGAGTGCCCCCCCCCCCCTCTTTCGCCCCCTTCTCACGGCGTGTTGTTTTGTTAGGGAGCCCAGTGCATTGCTATGCCCAGGGCCTCCTATGTTGTTAAGACGGCCCTGAATGGGAAGTGGGTCAATTAGCCGTCCGAAGATTTCGCCACACTCACACACCCAGAAGAAAAAAAAAAAAAACACGGACAAGTTAATATAACGGATTTTTGTAACGCGCCAAATTCGAATTGTTGCCTAAAGACAAATTGAGGTGATCGCAATTATTGCTTAAAGTTAAAGAGAAAATTTAAATGCTGATATTGTAAGCGCTTAATGGTTAAATACAAGGATGGTTCCATAATAATAACAATATGGCAATGATAAATTCCGTCAGTTGCTTTGCGCTTATGCAAAAAGAGGAAGATTGTCTTATCAACGCGATAATGAAAAACAAAACAACCCATAACTAGCAATGCATTTAATAACAATACTATTAAGACCTGATAAGTTCTTTTAATAAATTATGCAAAATAAAATTGACTGCAATCAGAAATTGTAGTTGTTAACAAATTAAACATTTGTGAAGCTTTAAGAATGTAATAATTTTGTTTTCCGTCGACCTCCTTAAAAAGGTTAAAGGCATATTTAAAAAAAAATAAAAAGATTCCTATGACTAGATCTATTTATTTACTTTTTTTTTCAGGGGTAGGGGTGGTTAAACAATTTTTTTTTGACATTATTAATTAGGGGGCTCCTTGAAAGTTTGACACTTGTTGACAAGGGGGNGCCTATATATTAAGATTACAGATGACATTGACCCGAAGAATGAGCGTAAGGAGTTTGGTTTGAGTGATGGGCAGAGGAACGTGATAAAAAAAAAAAGGGGGGGGGGGTGTTTAAAAAAATGTTTTAAAATAAATGACAGTATTGGTTCAATATTAATAAAAGCCTTAGGGCTCTGCATGAAGGACAGCCCACTGATATATATTTCCAATATACATAGAATAGAGATGCCTGCTTTCGCCACTCCTCTGATTAGATCATAAGAACATGACAATGAAAATGTGCGCATTTGTCTGGTCACCGCACATAACATGCCGTGCTGGCACCGAATTACGTCATGATCAGGGTGTGACGTAGGTATTTTGCTTTGCTAATCCGTCTACTACCACGCTGTGTGTTTCTAAAGTCATGATGAAACTGCGTTGAACAAATTGTAAATGAATTGTGGGTGCACTGAGCCTATATATTTTGCCAACGTAAGAATATCAAAATAGCGACAATTCAGATATAGGCTATAGGCTGGAAATATATTTTGTTTAGATGTAACAGATTCGTCCAAAATAATTGTGATCTATATATGTATGCCAACATGTAGATGCAAATAGAGTTCAGAACTGCTTGCAGGATGTTTAAGCTCAATAAAATCACGTAAGACTCCAACTCAATGGTTATTTCATACATTATATATCATATACATATCATAGCCTACAAGCAACTTAGGCCAAGGTGTTTCATTTCTGATTTCTGTTTTTCCCCATGTAATTTAATCATTATTTCTTCTTTCAAAGTTTTGTGCATGATTATCATTCTGAATGAAAATGAGCTAAATAGCACCATCCCTACAACTAGCAACATTTTTACTTGGGTCCATATTAACAGGTTTCACTGTACATTTGCATGTTCCCCTTTAATTTAGATCTAATATTTATGATGGCAGTGGCCCATGGCCTTCATAAAAATGTTGAGAATGATCGCCAGTTATGCGATATCCTCATTCACATTGTCCTTTCTTTATCGCATGACAGCTAATTAAATCTGTGACGATTTGCCAGATTATGCGGACAACCCCAAAGATGGATTAAGACCAGTGTTGTAATGGTGTTTGGGATGTTTTTATAAATTTTAGTTTACACATGAATTTACGTTTAATTTTCCACGTAGCTTTGTTTGTACTTCCGGTCACGTGATCATATTTAGAATAAGAGGGATTTTTCTAGCGTTCAAAGTTAGTATCATTCATATTCATATCAATAACAAGTTAGTAATCCAGAGATTGGCATTTCAATAAGCTTAGAAAATGATGTTTTATATTTTAATTTTAAGCTATTTAAGATCTAATGCAACCGTTTTTTTAGATAATCTGGGTATGAATACTATTATAAGATGTGTAATTTTTTTTTGGTATAAATGTTAAATGTTAATAGAAGTACAACAAAAAGGTCCAGACGTCTGAGACGATAGAGTAGTCACTATCAGTGCTAACAGTGGCAGTAGTATCAGTATCACACAGTTCTTAGGTCACAGCCAACTATACTTAGTTAATAGTTATGAAACTTTTACTTTGTGTACTCAAGTGCACTGTAGCCTGTTAATAATAGTGTGAGCAAACCAAGCCAAAATGATTAGACATGACATGTTACATATGACTAAGACTAAGTTTACTAGTAAGTAACTTCAGACTTCAGTGACTAAGACTAAAGTCTAAAGATAAGTGCAGTGTAATTTAGGTGATTATTTGGTAGATTTAATTAAAATTAAGGCTAGTGTAGAGAATTGGTGCCATTTCAAAATTTGGGATACATTTATAATTTATGGTTTAGCTTAGGGATAGGCCTACATTTGATTTAGGGTTCAGGAAAAGTTCACGATTCACAGTGAATTACGGGTAGTGGCAACCAAGAAGTCAGCCGTGTGATACATCATGGCACCAATTGTTTGCATTTACCAGTGATCAGTTTTAGTAGAATGAATGTGCCAATACAACTGACGATCAGTGTCTCCATCAGACTCATTATCACTTCACTATTAAGTATTATTCAGATTATTAGCCCACTAAGTCTAAGTCGTAGAGTTAGGACCAAAGCTTAGTTAAATAACAACTTGTCATTGTTGAATACTTACTAATGAATGGCATTTTTTTTTGTTATGAGTTATGGATTTCTCCTGTATTCCTGTGGCTTTTAACTAATTTAAACAATGACTTTAATTTTAATTGTTTTACTCAGCACCCAGTTACTCAGACTCAGCCTATAGCAACATACTTAATTTGGATTAGACCATAAAGCAAGACTATGCCTTCTCAGGTAATATATATATTTCCTAATTATATATAATAAAGCTCTAATGATGACCTTTCAAGCTTTTCAACTTTAAAAAAGACCCAAAAAAACCCCCCTATCCTTTCTAGTAAACTACACTCCTTTGAGGGTTAGCATTAGTTAGGCGTTTGATTTTAAGAGACACAATGATAGATGAGGAAACATTTTGTATTACCCTTTGAACTATTTCACCATTAGGTTGTTGGAGGCAACAACATAAGATGCAGACGAAAGCGAAGAAGTTCTCAAGTACCAGTAAATGATCAATTAAATAAAAAACAAAAACGTAAAAGTAAGATGAATAATTGTATATTATATTATCTTCCTTACATACTAAGAGCACTACCTTTTTCTTAACATCTCTTTGGATCATTTTGGGATGAGAAATGTTTCTTGGATTCTTATTGAATAAATATTTTATAAAATTATACTAGATTTTTAAAATAAAAGATTAACATCAATTAAGTAAACTACATTTTCCTATTTTAATCATTAACTTCTAAAATCTCAACCTCTCTGGTTAAAGTTTCTATGTTTAAATACATGGATACTCGTAATTACTTTATAAATAATAATGATACATTTTCATGTTTCTAGAAGTTTGCCTATTGTGTCTCAGTGATGAGGACAATGAAATTGAATTTGGCAAAATCTATGAGAAAGAGGATCTTACTGTGCACTATTTCTGTCTAGTAAGTGTTGGATATTCACTTAATAAATATATGCAGACTTACAAATAGCCTGACTTAATTTCAATACTGCGTGTACCAAAATAATAATTTAATTTCCACTATATTATATAGTCAAAATATTAGGTACATAATAAACAATGCGAATTTGGGAAGAGTAAAGTTCTTTTTTTTAAGTGACCTGTCCGAACAAACTGGATTTGGAGGAAAATTTGTCACCTGTTGCGAAAATCTGTTTAGAGGAGCCTTGTAATGATAAAATGGATCTTTCCATAAAGTTGTAATTACATTGAAAGACATTGTGCATTTTTAAAGGGTGTTTAAATTTCTTTACAGCTTCTTGGGAGTGGACTTTGCCAAAAAACTAAAGATACTGATAAGAAAAGTATTTTGGGTTTTGTGACAAATGACATCAGGAAAGAAATTAAAAGAGGGAGCAAACTGGTAAATATTTAATTTTTTAAATGAAATTCATTTTTTCATGCCAAGTATTAACCATCGGGTAAAGTAAAATAATTTATTTTAAAAAATTATATTTTCTTCTTAGATCTCAAGAATATGATAGAAGCTATGAACAGATAATTTCTTTATAGAATATGATTGCTTGTGTTTTTATTAATATTTTTTTAAAAATGTTTGGACAAAGCATTTGTACTTTGAACCTTTGGGTAGGATTTTAAATGTAATTTGTGTGGGTGATTTCCAACCGTTAATTTCGTTAGGAGTTAATCTAAAAGCTAAACTCTTAGTTCAGTCAACACTTATCAAAGGATGTTTATGTTATTTGTATTGCAGAAATGTTGTTTTTGCCGTAAAAATGGAGCAAGCATAGGATGCTGCATAAAGGCTTGTAAAAAAACTTTTCACCTGTGCTGTGGTCGTAAGAATGAAACAATGCATCAGTTTTATGACAGTTTTAGGTACATTTATTTTTTGGAGTAATATCTATCTTATTAATAGTAATCATTAAGTCCATCCAGGGCATTTTGTGGGGGAGTATGGTACAGAACGTAGAAATTAAATAAAAAAAAAAACAGGGCTATCTTTGGTGGGAAGCCTAGATTCTATTTTAGAAAATGTTTAAATAAAGAATGGAAGTGCTAGTTTCACAAAACAGATCAGAATGCCGGGGGTTAGAGATTCGACATCTGAGATTCCTAACTGGCATTTTGTTGCTATAGTAAGCCCAAATCAATTTTTTCAATCTTGACCATCTTTGCGTGGCAAGAAAACTTCCTTCTTTATGAAAGAAATGTAGAGGGGGAATCTGATGTTCATGGCTATTTTTTTTGTTTGAACTGGTTTTTATGTAAATGTACAGGATAAGTTGATGTAGGGGAGGTACCACTTGAACAATTTTTTAAAAAATGATGGAAACCACTGCATTCAAGGAGCTTTTTCTCTAAGCTAGTAGTTAATAGACCTGTTTATTGCTCATTGTGTTGAATGTTGTTCAGACTTGTAATTTAAATGTTGTAACTTCAAGAATTATTAAGGCTACAGGTGTTATTGTTTAAGGAACTTTTTTATGCCCATTTTTTAGAAAGTGATTCATAGAAGTAGCTTGAGATTAAATTTGTGTTTAATTTTTAATTAGCTTAACAAACTCACAGTTGCAAACCATTAAAAAATAAAGCTCATAATTTTTATCATTAAAAAAAGCTCATGCTTCTCAAACTTGACATAGTAAGGCTTCACTTTGAAGCTAAATGAATTTGGATAGACCTCTCAAGATGTATCAGATTTTACAGTACCATACCAATTTTTGGAACTGCTGAAATTATAATGGCATTTGTTTATATTTTATGAATATCATATTTTGTGTGTATGCTTGAATTTTTTTATCACTCCCCGACCTATCTACACACAAAAATCTTTTAGATCATTTCCTTCCCTCAGTACATTCTTAGTTTGTGGATAACACATTATACCAAAACATTTTGAATTGGCCCCCAAATTATTGATCTGGTCAGACTAATAGTGTTGAAATGAATTTCAGTATTATCACAAATAAATGTTTGGGTGTATTAGTTCCATAACACAAATGTGTTAAATGCATTTTGAAACTCTTTAAAAGATTACTATGTCTTTTAAATCTAGATTTCTCCTCCATGGAGTGCATCCAGATTTTTGTACAGGCTTTGTCTTATTTATTAGGAAAGAAAAAAATGATCTTCTGCTTTTGTTTTAGGTCTTACTGTCCTGATCACATACCAGTCCAGTTGGTAAAGAACACTAGTATTGGTATGCAAAGTTCAAGCAGATCATGTGCTATATGTTTGACACAAGTAACAAAATCTTCTCATAGCTCACTTGTCTCCCCTTGCTGTATGAGGTCATGTTTTCACAGGATTTGTTTGCAGGTAACAAATTGAACCCCTGAAAAAAATCCATTTGTGATCCATGTGGTTATAATATTAAATATTTTAAACAATGGTAAAGTGCATGCTTGAAAGAACAAATGATTTTTGTTGTTACTGACCAAATTGTCTCATTACTTGATAGAAATATGCTATTTCTGCTGGACTTCACTATTTCAAATGTCCATTGTGCAATGATGTCAACCAATTTCAAAGGGAAATGTTGGAGTTTGGAATTTATATTCCAGATCAGTGAGTAAATTTTATTTTTAAAGCCTATTTTCCATGTGTGAAAAGGAACTTTTAAAAATAAAATGCATTGTATTAGTTTTTTTTATTCCCAATAATGGAAAACTAAGTGTAAGAACAGCTGGCTTCTCGCCACTGATGAACTTTAGAGGTTAACGTTAGTGAAGGTTGAGGTAAGGTTACTAGTTAAAGAAATGTCATGAAATTTCTGGGCAGAGGTTAAAATATGTCAGAAACATTATGTTACTACTACTATTATTTCAGAGTCAGTCAAGAAGGACTGATTACTGTTTATTTAGCAGGTAAATGTTTTGGACTTTGTTTTGTTATATTCAAGTTTATTGGTGACAATATTTATATTTATTTCATTTTGATAAAGAAGCAAATCTTGTCTGTATGTTCAATTATTAGAGATGCATCTTGGGAGAGGGAACCTAATGCTTACATGGATCTTTTGGAAAGACATGATACATGTGACGCCCCTAAATGCATCTGTCCCAAGGGTAACAAGTATGATGCAGACTCTGGGTAAGCCTTTTAAATGCATTATTACAAAGTAAAACAATTTGGTAGTGTCTAATTCTATTCTTTGTCATCATTGGTTTCAGCAGACATAAAGTGTTAAATAACTTTTCTTTTGTTTTATAGAAGGTATGAACTTTTACTGTGTAGTGTGTGTGGGTCATTTGGTTCACACAGGGCGTGTGGAGGACTTTTATACAAGGAAGGATCCATGGTGTGCCATCATTGTGCTGGCATCACAGATAAAGGTATTTTCATTAGGCCCTGATTTCTCTTGCAGAAGCAGAGGGTCAATATATGGGTTTTTGTAGCATATCTAACCAGATGCCTCTACCCTTTGCTTTCTTTTTGTTACTATCTTTATTTCCAAGGGGTACTTAATTAAGTTGAAAACTTGCAGCTATATTCTCCATAGTTAAAAATACAGAATAAATCCCCCACAGAAAAATATAAGGGGATGGGGTCCCAAAGGTGGGTTAACATTGTAGCCCTGGGACACAACTGATGTCAAGCTGTATAGGCCACTCATTGCTCCCTTGGGTCAACCTGCTTTGTGGAGAGGAGGAAAAAGTTGCTGCACCAAAAACCACCTTGCCCAGGCTTCATAGTTTTGCTAGAGAGACATTTCGGGCAAGATTACTCTATTGTTAATTGATATTTATAGCAGAATACTCACATGGAAAGACAATGCGATCTTATATTTCTTAACCAGCATATTATTTTCTATGGGATCAGCTTATACACCTTTCCCTGTCAAAACTAGGGGGAAGTGCGGGTCGGCTTTTGAAGGAACAGGCTTTTGATCGAGAATATACTGTAGTCTGTTTTTAAACTATGTTTAATTCTTTTATTCATGTTTTGTTAAAATTTTTTTCACATTTTATAAATAAAAATAAGTTAGTATTTTCTTACCATTTGTACAATTCAGAGTTAAAAAAGTATACCATCTGAAGTAAAATAATTTTTCAGTGATAAATGTGGAACAGAACAAAGATGATACTTCAAAAAGCAAAGATGATTTTCACTGTCATCATTCAACTTCATCACCTGCTCAAAACAGAAGACATGCAAGACCCAGAAGGCAGCTTTTTAATGACTCTGTCATGGAAACTGCAGGGAGTAGTTATTCACAGGTGCGATTGAGATCTCGACAGCCCTTGCGTCTTCCGTGAAGTGAGAAGATTTCTTTAACTATGTCATCTCCTGATTGCAGTATACACCCTGATAAATAAATTTTCCTGATTGCCATTTGAGACAGCATGTTGTTCAAATACATTATCAGCTTGATTTTAAAACGTAGCAGCTTATTTATTTCCCCATTGCTTTTTATGCTGCTTGTAGTTGTAGTTATTTTTCATTGACTGTTTGCACTTCTTCATTATTTGATACACCATTTTGAGCATCGCTACTTTTTTCCTTTTAAGTTCAATTGTTGTTGTTTTCCATGCGTTCTTGTTTCCATAATGAAAATTCGGCTAATTAAAAATTAATAGTAGCTTTTGATTCCTAATTTGTATTCATTTGATAGATTAAAGAGATAAATGTTATAAACTTTTCTAGTAGACCTACACTAAACTTTTATATGAATTTGCTTCATTAATTTACATTAGATGTTAAATTGTTGGAATGGGATTAGTGAAGAACAGTTTTGCAGATAATTTTAGAAAAAAAATATTTTTAGTAAACGGTAAAGTTACTAGTACAGTACTTGAAATAGTTTTGTGTACTTACTTAGTATGTAGCTGCATCACAGATTATATTTTTGTAAAATTTAACTTTCAATATTTCTTTCTCAACAGTCCAGATATTGCCAAGGGTACAAAGATGAAAGAGAAGATCCCAGTATTTATAATGGAGAATCTATGACTTTATTGGAAACAAAATTAAAATGTTTTGTTCGATTGGAAAAAATTGATACAGAGATCTGCATGCCTCAAGGTGAAGTGGATTTGAACGAAATTTCCATAAATATTTATAAAAAAATGAATCAACCAGATAAGCATGTTTCTGACAAGGTGGCTCCCCTTATTTTCATGGGAGAAGACTTTGGAGTTTTGGATACAGATCTTGAAGGCTCTCCAGTGCCCTCACCCCAGTTGTCTGAACAAACTTCTTGTCTTCAAAAATGTTCCAGATGTGGAGGGCTTGAAAGATTATATGGTCAAACAGATGAAGAGCATGTTTCTGACAATATGCCCCAATTGACATTTATGGGGGAAGACTTTGAAGTTTTGGATTCAAGCCCTGAAGGCCCTCCAGTGCTCTCGCTACAAACGCCTCAACAACCTTCTTGTGTTCACAAAAAATGCAGCAGTGAAGGGAAATTATTGAGAGAACTTCATGAAAAACAGTGTATGGACAATCTGACTGAAGTTCGGCAAAACTGTGGGAACACTTTGTTGAAGTCACCACCCAGAAGTTTTCTTAAGACAGATATTCCCCTGAATAACTCTTTGAGCATCTTTCAAGAAAATAAAAATCCAAAAAGTTTTAAAAAGGCAATGATTCCTCTACTTTCTGAACAGAAATCTTTACGGAGAAATAATTTAGCGTCAGTGGGTTCAAAAATTAGAAAGAATATAAATAAATCTCAAAATATCCCTGACCTTAAGCTTAAACAAACATCTATTCTTGATTTCTTCAACTAAAATGCTATTTTGAATTTTTCTTCTTCTTCTATTGCTATTTTATTTGCTCTTTAATTTTAAGGTTGCATAAATTACCAATCAAAACAATACACTAGCCTGATGTAAATCCATTAGGCTAGAGGCACTTTGTTTCATATTTTTATTTTGTTTTGGATGTATGTGATTGTGATATTTGCTTTATTTCCTAGCAATTACATGTGTCAATTTAAATTAAAAAACAAGTTTTAAATTGATCTGTGCTCCACGTGGCTTATATGGTAGACATTATCAAAGGTTTTGAAAAAAACAACTCGATAAAATATTTTGGTAGCTCCTGAAATTGTTAATTTTGTTATTGTTACTGGTATATTTAATTACATGTTTTTTTGGAATTATTTCATTCCCATATACCCGTTTCCCGAACCATTAGCAGACCCATCCCCCTTGTTGGTCTGGCAAAACTATGAAATAGTTTTAACCATAACTATTAACAGTACTGTGAAACTGAAACCTTCTTCTTTGTATATTTATGTACATTTGTAAATCTACTGTAAACCAAAGCATTGCAAAATGCTAATTATTGCCAATGTAAAGATTAATATTAATATATATGTTGTAATTATTGTACATGTATTTCTTTACCTTCAAATGTTCATTTAGCATTTAATCCTTACACTTACATGTTAATAAATTGATGAGAAAATGTACAGAAATTAGGGTTTTCTTCTTCTGAAACTGATCAATGAAGTGGTTCCCAAACATTTTTGTACCATACATTTAAAACTGTTTAGTTTTGCTACAGGCACCTTGTAATTTTATTGCAAATGTATGATTAACTAATACATATAACTATAACAATTTCAAAATTATAGTTAGTTAGATAAGCTCATCCAATGATGATGATGAGTTGAAATTATGGTCCAATCTGTGTAAGCATTTCAACAGACTTCCAGATGAAAATCTCAGGTGATATAATACTATAATAGTCATTTCTCATAACACTACCATACATAGCTACAGCATTACTGTCTTTTGATGTGATATTTTGTGACTAGTCTAGTACTTGAATAAATGAGAGGACCTACTATTTTTATTTTCAATTGAAAATTTTTCAGTGTATTGGCAATGGTACACACCAAGTCCTAGATTACCTTGTCTTATGGTAATATACATTAAAAATATATAGTAAAAAATTTAAAGGGCAGATGCTGTATTAACTTAGTGCCGGTAATTCAATATTTATAAATATGTCATTAGATATTTATTGTAGAAACATGTAAATAATGTTGTGTCAAGTTTTGTTTAATTTATAAGTTACAGTTTGTTAAAACATAGGTCTTAAAATTTTTGTGTGGCATTAAAATTGATGAAAAGGGCTGATTTGTTTTATATAGAAGAATTAACCTCAATCAATCTAATAATAATAAACTTGAGCAGTTGTTTTCTTCCCTCATGTTTTGTTTTAAATTTCTGTGTGTGCTATATTACCACCATGCAAATAACTCAATAGTTCATCAAATCTTTATTTCCTAAACAAGGTCTCACAAATTTTGTTTTCAAAAGCTCACTGTTCTCACAGACCTTGAAGCTGGCGGATTCAAGTGGGAGGAAGGGCCAACATATTTTTTTGGTGTAGAAATAAGTTATTTTTAGATGCATTTTGTGTGGTTAAATCTCAGATTGGACCCACTGCCTGAACTCCAATTGAGCTGAAACTTTGTAACTTTACCCACCCTGATGACAATAAATACAACCTCCACTGAGCCTTGAGTGATCTATTCAGATATCTCTAGTACCGGTACTGAAAGTGATATTATAGGGACATATGGTTTTCACTTATAGCATTTCCATAAGCATGGTCACTCATTCCCGACAGCAATCAAGGACAACAAAATTTTTACCACAGAAAAGTCAGTACTGACCTATCACCTCTATACCAATTTCACCCACCCCTTGATGTCCAATTGAGCTGAAACTGTATACACTTTTGAGAGAAATTTTAAACATGCACACATCATCTACTTGAACATTTTAGCTTACTTACAGGTCAAATGTCAGTAGTGACCTCTTTACTAAATATCCGGTACTGCTGGTTGGATATGCACAAATTTAACATGCATATAATTATAATCCGCTAGAACATTTCAGTGCATGTAGACTGTATTTGTGTTTTACATCTTCCATGTCTAAGACTAAAAGCATAAAATTAATTTTCCCCAAAACTTCAAAGTTGTTACTGTGACTGAGTAAGAGTGACTGACTCACTGACTGTCCAGTAATGTTATCATGCATAATGATTGATCTTGTGACCCACAGTGACCTGATTGCCTGTATTGTTGTCATAGTTACTGACTTTGAATGTCTTAATGTCCAAGCTTAAACTTAAATGTATGAATATTGGTTGGATAACTGGAGTGAATGGTTATGCGATGCATAAAAAAGAATGTAGGATTAGGATAGTTGGATAGAGAATACAGTTAGGTGTCCATGCATTATACTATTACAGTCATGACTAAAAAAGCATGGGTCGCGCATGAAATACAATAGTAATGCTGTATGTCTTGACAAATACAATGTTTCTTGGACACATGATTATGTTGTCAGTGCTGCGAGTTAGTGTTATGTTATGACAGATATTATTTATTCATGGAAGTATGATCTCTCACAACTGTATTTTATCCCTTTTGTATGCTCCCATTGATCATGATCTTAACAAGTGGAATAAAATTAGCTATATTGCTGTGTGCATGTCTTTGCGACATGCAAAGAACATTGATTTCATGGGCATTCTATGCTTTTTTAAGTCGTATTCACTAACCAACAACGTAATTTTGCTGGACATTAATTTTATGCTTGTTAGGCATATTTGGAAAACATCCTGTCTAAAAAGTTTTTTTTCTTCACATATTTTATTTCTAGATCATCTCCTATTCCTTGCTTATCATTGACCAGTTTTGACTTTTTATTTCATCAGTATTTAAAACGAGGGTGAATCAAAACTTTGATAAATTGAGTAAAAATTATCTTGACTCAGTCAAAAATTATTTTGTTCATAAAGAGGCCAATTTGTACTGTAATGTATAAACTGATGATTAGTCTTTTTTTTCTTTTTTTTTTTAACTATATGCACTTACTGTAAAACACCTGATGATTAAGCAAATGGCCAATTTTGAAGTGTCTTATATAAAAGACATAAAAATCATTTCATGCAATTATGGCGATGTGCCCTTAAGAGTTAAGAGACATGCAAAAAAAAGTAAAGACCAGCTCATGAATGCTTGAAAAATTTAATTCGCATGATTTTCACAATTTAATCCCACAATTTAAAAATGCATTCATCAGCTATAGCAGAGGTGGCCAACCCAATTGGCATAAAAGGCCATTTTGACAGGGAGTCAACTCTTCGTGAGCCACATGTCATCACACTAATTCACTATAAATAAAATAAATAACACACAACAAAATGGTGGACCCGGTATATAATTATTTATATATCCCTACTGTACATATTTCTCAGATGATAACACAGCTAGAAATGCTGCACAAGCACATAAATAAATTGTAAATATCATGAAGATAAAAATCTGTTTTAAAAATAAAGTCATACTTCATTAAATTAAAATGTGCAGCTATATAAAAAGAGCAAATTGAAGCACAAATAAAATGAAAAAATGTGTCATCTTCCATCTGAAGGGCCCCAAATTAATTGTGCAGGGTCCCATGTGGCCAACTGGCTGGCCATCACTGAGCTATAACAGTAAGTAGATATTTCATTTTGAACCAATAAAATGAAAACAAAACAAATAAAAAATTCATAAAAATTAATCTAATAAAAATATGCATCCCAGTTAACCTAAATTGAAATGAATGCATAAGCTACAGGTAGTATATTGCTTGTTAAATTAAATGTTACAATTCAACAGAACCAATTAATTTTCACTTAGTTATTTTATCAATAATGAATATTGTATATGCATTCAAAAACTTCACCCCAGTATTAATTGATTAAATTATTTGAATACATGAACGCAGAGGGCGTGCAGGGGCAGAGGCAATCAAGTATATCACTCTGGGCCCTGGCCGCATGGGGGGATGGAGATGCCAAGATAACAGTTAGACAGGGCGATGGAATCCATGTAACCAAAAGAGTCACCAATGTTCCATACTTTTCGGACCAAAACTTGTGGAAGTTTGCATAATATTTATGCAATTTACCTGCACCCTGAAGGTGAAACGGGTAGGATGATGGTACTGAGACCAAAACCCCTGTGTGTAATTGTATTGATGTGCTATATACCAATGAAATGAAGCCCTCGAACTATGTCAGACATTTTTATTCAAAACATGTTAAAATATTAGTTTAAAGTACACAATTTTTTTTTGAAAGGAACTAATAGAAAATGCCCAAAATTTAATGTTTAATGTATCACAAATTTTCCTTGGCTCAATTGGAGATTCTAATCTTTTCTACCAGGGCTACCAAATTTTGAAAGGCCATATCAGGAATTTTACTTCAAGGCTTGCATTTAGCCAAGCAAAACAGACTCTTTTTTGTTTGCCATGTTAAATAATTTTGTTCAGAGCAGCAAAGTGGCAGAATTTCAGCACTTGCAACAATCTCAAGATGGGAAACTAAAGAAGTGGGAAGAATCTCATCACTCACATTCCAGAGCATGGACTATCAAAGTCTAACAAGGCTTTTTACATCACATGGTACAAATTGAAATAAGGAGTGAAGACAAACCAATATGTTTAATCTCTTTTAAGTTTAAGTAATCAGATCTTGATTGAAGCTGCAGGATGGAGAGAAATTCTGGAAGGAAATATATATGTCTTTTTAATATATATGTCTTTTTGTTTCTTGATGAACATGGATTGGCTCTTCATGGAAAATCTAACCTGACTGAAGAATCTCACAATTTTCTGGGAACACTGGCACTGATTTCCCATTATGATCCAATCCTCAAAATACCTGCGATGAAAATTCAATAGGTAAAACAAAACTGTGAATAACTCTAGGCCTACACAGTACTATTTCTCTAAACAGTCCCAAAATAAAAAGTGTGTGTTAGCTCAAAAAATAAAAACTGTGTGTTAGCGTGAATCAGTGAAATATTTCTCAATCATAGTTGATGCTACACCTGATGTGAGCCACACTAAACAAACCAAATTTATTATACAATTATATGTTTGTAGAACCTGAAACTGGAGAGATTTTTTACAGTCGCTGATAGTTAAACAAAAAATGGATCTGGTGTGGCTGAATTGGTCATTGAGACTCTTATAGCATTGAAAATTCCATTTGTAGATTTCAGAGTCAGGGATATAATGGTGCTTACATTACATGGCTAGAAATTATAAAGGATTTCAGGCAGTGGGTATTGCTTGTCTTTTCACCATGTGGATGTCACTAATTAAAGTTATGTGGATTGAATGCAGCTTCAAGCTACACAAATGCAGACACATTTTTTTTGAGTTGTTCAAACTGTACGCTTTTTTCATCAAGTCAACAGCACTGTGAAATACTACAGAAAATGACTTTTGCTACATTGCCTTTCTGGGACTTAATGGACTGAAAGACTTGATAGTGTTCGACCTTCTCCAAACACTTGCCTGGAATAATTGAAGTTGAAGCTCTGAAGTAAGTTTTTCATCTGAACCCGAGTCTAAAGAGATGTACAAAGTAAAGTGAGCTATAAATATATGACATCTTTCATGTGTCATCATGGCATTTGAAATAATTTCATCCCACCAAGAACCAATAAATTGGTTGAACAAAATTTCCAATTAAAGCTGTGTGAAATTTTTGGAAATGTGATATTTGCATTGCATTGTTTTGTTGTTCAATTCCAATTACCGGTACTGCAACAACAGAGAGGTAATTTAGTATTGATCAAATATTTCCTGAGGTAAACTATGGGTCAAAAAAAAAAGAACCAGTCATCTGCCCGTATTTACTATTGAGTTTATTTATGCAGGGAGGCTTGATTTTTCTATCATTGATGAGTTTGCAAAATAAGGGCAAGAAGAGCACTTTTGTAGTTTTTTAATAAAGTATTTTTGTCTCAAATTCACAAAATGTTTGGCTCAATTATTTTGCAATTTGTGGGGGCCCAAAAGTTTGGAATAACTCGGAGCCCAAAAATTCTCTACACAGCCCTAAATATACTAAACAAAAAATTGTCAAATTGCCTTTGGCAGATGGTGCCAAATTATTCCATAAATTATTCTTTTCTTTGGCCATTACGGCAACTTCTTCTAAAGATGGTAACAGGATATTTGTTGTCTCTTCGGCTTCTTGTTGACTTCCTTGCTTGTACAAGGCTTGGACCTCTTCACTAGACAAGGAACATCTGTATAGGAGAAAGACATAACATATTTTATAGTGGACATGAATACTAAAATCTACAAATATTTATTCTACATACTATTTTGCTGATCACAGGCAACATTTGTCAGATAATTTTGTACGCTCACATCATTTTTGTTGGCACCATTACACTGGTTTTCCCCAGTTAATTTTGGCCATAATTGCAGTTTTTGCCCCGCTTGTATTTGTAGTTAAAAAACCTATGCCTATAGTTGTCTTTCCTACATTATTTAATTTATTATGAATATATATTCATTCAAAAAAATTTTATCTGAAAAGATTAGTATTTTGGTTTAGTTATCTTCTTACTTAACAACAAAAGCCAAACTTGGCCTTCCAGCACTCTGTTTATTGCGATGGGTTCCCATATAGAATGCCTCTCCTAATTGGTCTAATGGTATATTTACTTCATCTACAATCTCTCGAATGATAGAATCAAACACTTCATGAAGAACTGCACTGCTATCCATGGATGACACATCAATCTCTTCAAGGTTTTTGTCCCCAACTATTTTCTAGAAAATATAAATAATTTGTTATAAAAGAAATGTTATTTTGCATTAGGACTTATTTCTCAGCAATATAAAATGGAATATTGAAATGGTGTATCTTATACCTGTAGTTGTATTTGGCAAATATCTTTTATTTTTTTAAAAATGAAGAAACCATCAATCAAAGATCAGATAAAACAAATTAAAGCAGAAAATAATTTAAAATTTCTTAAAACGTAAAGTAGGACTGTGCAGGAAGGTAGATGAGAACTCTAATTAGCCAAAGGATTTGAATTGAATGTAGATGCAACTTAAATATGTTTTTAAAATAAATTTTTTAATGGTTTAAACTCGCCTTTGATAGAAAGTCTTTTAAAATTTTTTTAAATTTGCTCCTTTTTAGTACTGTATTAAAATTTTAATTTACATATTATCGACAAAAGAAGTATTTACTTAAAAAAATTAATTAATAAAATCCCACAGCTCTGGTATGACCTAACCTACCTCTCCCACCCCTTTTTCACCTGCCATTCACTGAACAAAGCAGACGCTGTGTTGACACAACTCAGATTCAACCTTACAGGTAACAATAAGACAATGAGCGCCTTTGTTCAGTCATGTGTGCATACAGAAAAATAACCCTCTACACACAAGATGGCAATAAGAGTAGAAAGTACGTCTTAAACTTAAATAAAAGTAGATCTTAGCTCACCCACCCACTCCTTCATTCAATGAAGCAGACACTATCAACCATGATAATTTTAGCACGTCCACCTGCCTCCTAAGCACACAGTATTCTTTTCCAGCTGTTCACCAGGTGAACACTGCATAAAAAAGTCTTAAAATGTCACATGGGTAAACAACAAATTATGAATCACACACAGGATTATGCTCTAAAATTATGAAATGCTAGAAGAAAGGAGGTTTTAAAAAAAAAAAAAAAGAGACAATGTTTTCAATGTAAAACACCAAGCCATTGACAAAAATAAAACCTATAAAAAAAAACCCAAAAAACACTATCATCAGTTGCAGTGTCCTCTCTGACTTTTCAACAGACCACAGCTTTATAAGAAGCTCTTTTTATCTTAATTTTTCACTTAAACTGTTATTTTGTTAGCAGAAAAATGATTTTTGAGCAAACAATTACATTTTCTATTTTGTCTTCTTTCGGATCTACCCCTGCACAGTGTTTTTTATTCACAAATATCTTCTTTTAAAATAAAAACAAATCTTAAACTTAAAACTTTAATGAAATGGGAGGTAATGTATCATTGGAAGTAATGTATTTTTTGGTAAATTTGGATACATGGTGCTACTATCCATAAGCATGCAACGTATTATATGTCATATAATATAATCCAAATTTAGCATAAAAATGTTGGCATTGGTTAATAAAAATACAAACAATTATTGTGATTGACAGATATTAATGCATAATAAAGAAAAAGTGTTCACCATGGGTTCAGCATGTCCACCTGGTACATCCCACAAACCTGGTGCTTCTCCACAATGGTCACTTCTTTTAAGTAATATAAGCCTGTTATCAGTAGTTAGAACACTGGCTCCTACACCCAAAGCATCAGATAAAAATGCTTGAGAATTATTGTGAAGCTCAATACCCTTTCCTTGTATTTCTTTAGCATTTGGGGCCCAGTTTGATCCAATAAATTCCTTGTAATCAGTAACACCCAAGTACATGTTGATCTTGTCTTTTTCCATATCACAATTTGCAACATGATGAATTCTGAACTTGGTGGCATTAAATAACCTTGGGTTTTCTAATAAACGCTTAGTCCAGATTAAGTCAATGACAGATTTTTGGTTTTCACAATCTGGACTTTTATGAAAACACGCATCATATTGAAGATTATTGGTTGTGGAACTAATAATATCGAAGTCGTCATGTTTTGCACAGTCATTTTCAGTGCAACAGCTGTAAACACAATGACAGTATGTTTTTTTGTTATAATCTGACGACAGAAATATGGTTATAAAGTTTGATGCTTTCAACTGCCCAGGCTCCACCAAATGCATTATTCCAAAGTCTGGGTCCATCGGTAAGCATCAAAAGTGTATAAATGGGGATGGATAAAATAATAATAATATAATATTGTCCTAACCAATATCCCAATCACTTTTGAAAACTTATAAATAATAATAGCCTCCCTTTAAAAATCTTCTAGCATTTAAAACATAAAAGTGAATGACCGGAACTACTGAATGCGGCTGCTTGTAACCATAGTGATGCTAATAAACAGCAACTCGCGGTTGATTACTCCTACTACGAGTGTTCAGAAATAACAATCCTTTTTCTCTACTGAAGTCACCTTCAACCGTTTTTTAAACAATGGAGTCGGAAAGTCTCCATCTCAATTGTGATTATGTTGCTAGCAGTGGACATATTTTGAGTTGTGAGCAAAAAGCAGCACTTCAAACCTCATTAATTATCTTACAGAATGAAAACAAGTTTTACCGAGTTTACTTTTGGGGAAAGATTCTCGGTGTAAAAGATAACTATTTTATTGCACAGGGGGTTTACAAAGATGAATTTGCAGGCAGAAAAACATTTTACAGGCAAGTAAAATTAGAGACTTAGATTTCAATAAAAATAAATTATTTGATTCATAGTAATCATAATCATAGTAATAGATATTTTATTAGTATTAGGCTGGGGCTACCACCATCATTGTTAGTTGTTGATTCTAGTTATGTCACTTATAGTATAGTATAGTATACTATAATATAGTATAATAATAATAAAATATCAAACATCTTTAATTTAATAACTTTTACTTAGGGGCCGTCCATAAAGCACATCACGCTCCAGAGGGGGGGAGGGGGTGTAATGGGGGGGGAGGGGGGGTCAGGCCATGTGTGATATCACACATTTATTTTTGTAAAAATTTCATTTCTAAGTTATTTTTTATTTTTTAGCGGAATTTAATAGCTTTAAAATAATTTTCAAAACTTTTGTGTATCATTTGAATTAGTTTTATGTCAAAATAGCATGAAATGCGTATCTCTTGAATGGGCTGTTCACGATTCTTCTCTCTAGGAGCGCTAGTATGCTGTTGCGAAGCCTTGTTTTATGTATAGCCTTACTTTCTTCTTTCCTTAAGTATTATTTTTTCTATGTTGTCCGCTGCATAAATATGTCACTGTCCTTTTTATTACTTAATCATTTGGTGAGTCAAGTTTCTCTAATATACTTCTCAACCTGTGTGAAAAGATTGCATAATCGGAAGATTATCTAAAACTTGACCTCACCTATTGTAAATGAAAAAGCAGCAGATAAATGATTTTATATCATTGTCTAGTCTAATTTTTGCAATTTTTGTTTTCAAATTCAATCTAGATTGAGTTACTGCCTCAATGAATAACTGTGACAACTGTTGAAAATTAACTATTCTACTATTAAAGTAATTTTAATAATGTGGTAGTGGAAATTAAGTGGACATTTTATATTTTAATACAGTTTAATAGTGAAGTGTGTTTTAGATTAAATTTTAATTAGGTGTTAATTAAAAAAATTGTTTTTTTCAAAAGTGTGACGTACTTTGGGGGGGGGGGGTATCCCAGATTTGTGACAGGAGGGAGGGAGGGGGTTTAAAATGGTCAAAAATAGCGTGACATACTTTAGGGATGGCCCCTTACAGTTAAATTAAATTATTAAACATATACACCTGTATCTATACTTATGGCCTACTATGTAGGCCTAATTATAGTTAGTAACAGTAAAAGTAGTATTTGATTATATTTATTGAGTAGCCTATAACTATCCCATCATTTTTAGGCTTTTTAAACAAGTATGATAAGATGAAACTATGCGGCTTCTGACATTGCTAAATTAATGCCTTCTTCTAATAATGGAAAGACTTGCATTTTACATCATGACAGCAAAATAAAAAAATATTAAATAAACCACATGCACATAGGCATAATTGTTGTGTGCTGGGCCATCCATAAATGATGTCACACGTCTAGGGGGGAGGGGGGTCAGATTTTTGTGACGTGGGGTGGGGGGGGTGGCCTCAAGCCATGTGACATCACATGAAAAGCAGAATGTTATAGTAAAGAATTTCACTTAATAACACTAAATTATAGACAATTTTAATATTATTTAAAAAAACAAAAACAATATAATTATTTTCTTTTAAAACTACTATCACTGAGAAAATCAGGTAGGAATGCAAGGTCTGAAGAAAGAGAATCGGAATGTAGTTACAATGACAGTCGTGAGAATTTATGGCTAAATCTTCACACTCGAAGTGGGATGGAGCAGGAAAAAAGGTTGACCGCGGGGTGGTGGGTATCTTAGTAAATGCTCTAGGGCAAGGATTCTTAACCTTTTTTGCAGCGTTGCAGGGCCACATACCTCCCCCAACCGTATAAATTACATTATAATAAAATTTAAAATAATTAAATAATTTAATTATCGTAGATTTTATTTCTTTAATTAACTTTTTATAAACAGGGGAAAAATTACCAATACACAAAATGCGCCAATGAAATTCACCATTGACTGCTGCTAATCAAAATCCAAAAACTCTTTTTTTTTAAAGCAATTGCAGCAAATAGAAACAATGGTGTAGCTAGGGTTGGTGTCACCCGGTCCGGTAAGCTCGTGGTGTCATCCCCTCCCCTTTTTACAATGTATTTCTTCTTGTTAAACCTAGTCCACAGTATAAGAAATACAAGAAAAAAGCAAATTAATTGAAGGTCAGGGGGTAAATGTATTTAAGAACTGCAACGTTCTTTGAATCCCCCATAACTATCAGTTGTATTATCAGAATTTAGATACAAATAACTTCCTGTCACTTACAAAAGTTGCCAAATACTTAATTTGGCGTTGAAACATGGTCAAAACGGTGTGTTTCTGACCTAATAATATGGAAACCTAATTGCTGATGCATCAACCTTGACATTTTAATATTAACGAAACACGCATTTTGATTGGTCACATGGGTGGAAAATGTATGGGTCATCTGTTACCCTTTATGAATTTCGGTTAGACAGATCGGTGTGTGCTCTGTAATTACGCTATCTTTCAATTTGGTGTCACCCCCTGAGATGGTGTCGACCGGTGCGGTCCGCTCCCCCCTAGCTACGCCACTGAATACAATTTTTTGGTCTTCCACACCTCAAGGCTGGGGAGGTAGTTGTACACCTAGTTAAGAACCACTGATCTAGTGAAATGTTTGGTGCAGTAATTTGATATCCATGGGAGGCGAATTTCTTAAGGGTTTGTAAAGGACAGTAGTGGACACAGGGACTTTTTATTGGGGGGGNTAACTTTTAGTGACGATTTATGACGATGGGGGAGGGGGGGGTGTCAATTGGCAAAATTTGCGTGACATCATTTATGGATGGCCCCTGTGCTCAACATTTTCATTAAATTTTTTTAACAACATGGCAACAACAGCAGACACCCCTCCCACTTAAAAACAAAACAGCATCAAATTCTGAATAAAATTTAAGTTTTATTTCTTGAATAAATATTTAATAAATATGGATACTTAAATGTTTCTTCAAAATGTACATTTAGCTTTTTAAAAAAACATCTTTTCAGCAAAGACTGCATACACTGGGGGCTATTACCACATGCAACACAGGAAATGAAAACAAAGTCAAAACTTGCTAAAGGTCGATTCACTGGAGACCCTGCTTATGAGTTTGAACATGTTGAAACAAAAAAGATAGGAGAAGGCGAAGAAGCAACTGAAGAGGAGGAAACGGTTTGTACATTCAAACATTGAAATAAAAACTACAATAAAAGACAATATCCCTTATGTGACATTTCTTTTACTTATGGAGGAGAGTGACAATTATTAATTTGAGTCTCCCTTTGCCTTTGAAGAAAATTTATTAGTATTAAAAATAGCACAAGATGCATGTCCTCCTCACAACTTACTGAATTCTATTATAACTTTTCATAAATTATAATAAAGGCAGAAATTTATGTTTGCACATGAACTAATAAAAAAGATTCAATTATTTGAAGGTTTCAATACACATAGTATTGAAATTTATCAACATAGACAACATCATTCTTTTTTTTTTAGACTATTATCAAAGAAGAAGACCGTCTGTCATCTGTTGTGGCCGAGATCGATGAAGATGTGAGAATCGTTCCTCGAGGGGCTTTCATCCAAGTCCCAACTGCAGAAGTTGTAAAAAACAGAAGCTTTGAAGGTTAATGTTTTTAATGATATTTAATAATAATTAATAATATTGCAATTGGAACAAAAGGCAACTACACAGATTAATCAATTTTTTCTTTCATTATGTACCTAACATACCTTGTATTTTTCTTTATCAATTGCAGGGCTATCTGTACAAGAAGCCGCTAAACTATGCAACTATATGCATTTTAGAGAAGCTAAAAGACTGGACTTGAAGACCTTGTTACAACGCGCCAACATGGATAAGGCCATTGATTTTATGGATAGTATCGAGGACGATATTCCCCGCGGTAAGTTAAAAAATGTTTTTTCTTAAAACACAACTTTAATTGTGCAATGCTAGATTTTCTGGGAGGATAGGGGCAAAGTAAGTGTTGTGATTTAGATTCTTGATTCAAATTACATATAATAAATAAGTAGTACAATCTTAAATAGATTTGATAAACAATTTTAAACAATTCTAAATTGTAAATAATATTAATACTCATACTCATAATAAAACATAGCCTGTTATATATTAATTTGCTACTTGTATATAAATTAAATATCAGAAGTGCTTTGTTATAATAAAAGCAACCCAGCATGTAGACCAAAATAGTTTGGTCCTATTTTTATAAATAATTTATCATTCCTAACCAATATTATTTAATCTTTATTATTTTTCACCCTGTCTTTAAATTATGCAACATGGAACTAAATTACCAAATTAACATTTTCCAGGTGCTTGGACACTACAGTTTGAGAGAGGAAGTGGATTGCTTGTGTTGAGAAGCCTTTCATGGCCTGGATATGTTTTCTATCATGTTCCTGCAACACAAAAATATGGATCAATTTATTTTGGCACTGGAGAAAAGAATATGGACTTACCTTTCATGCTCTAGAAATTTATGGTCTTTATCAAAGTACAGATTTATAAAATACTTTTTTCATTTTAAAAATATTTTTTTAAATGCTAAAGAAAAAGTTGCTAATAATTATATTATTTTTAAAAAGCATAAGCTCTTAATCTCACTGTTACCTTAAAACCAGGGATATTCTTTGTCACTTATTATTACAAAGCAAAAAAGTAAAAACATAAAATAATTTCATGTAAAAATCTCAAATTCTCATTTTCAAAAGACAATTTGTCATACAAAAAAGCAAATTGTGACTATATTGTGTGCTAATGATATTCTAAATTTGAAATAATTTCCTCATTTCTTGAATTTGATAATTATTAAGAAAACCTTACAAATATTCCTGTAATTTTAGAAAAAAATTACCATAATTTTAAAATGAATCATTTGTCTATGTAATTTTTATATATTCAAAAGGAAAACCATGTTGATAAGTTATTGTTTTATTAGTTTTTAAATATCATAGAAGAAACATTTATTTTGTGTGTATTCTGTGCCATTTTCATATGTTACAGTAACTTAATTCATCTAAAACAGATTTATACCTCAAATTTTTAAATTAATTCTTAAGAGCCTGCAAAAGTAAAAATAGACATAACGTCTTGTATAAAGCAAATGTTTTAATTTAAGCATGAACATAATAATCCAAATTTCTGTTTTTAAAAAGATATTACTTACAGTTGAGAAGAAGGCCCATATGTTTATATTTTCTTTCTCTTACAATAGTATGGTGTTGTAAAAAATTGAGAATATGAATTACCATCCATCTTGAAAAAAAATAATTATCCAAAAACTTTTAATAAGTTTATTTACAAATAAAATAAAAGTACTTCTTTTAATACTTAGCACAAAAAAATGAATAGAAATTTTCTTGATATATATATTTTTAAGATGGTGTGTTTAAATGCTAAATAATTAATATATTTTTCTGAGCACTGATATTTAAGAAAGTTTACTAAGTTTGAAAATTATATTTTAATACTTTTTTAAAAATACATTATGATTTTAAGAATTTTTACAGTGGATAATTTTATTGTGAAGATGAACTCATTGTTAAATGCATATTTATTCTCAGAAAAAAAGTTTACATCATCAGTTTTACAATATTTTTCTAAAATGTTATATCGCAGATGTTTTTTGAAATAAACTTTGGACTACAATTTATAATAATCAATTTGTTTCTTTAATAAACCTTTATTTAAAGAACTATTTTAGAGCATTTTTGAGGGATTGAAGTAAAAAGTAATAGTGCTTTATGGAGTAATCCTAAATGAAAATATACTATTATACAAATAAAGACCATAAAATAATATAATACCTGTCTATGCACTTTTCATATTTAAATATTTGGAAAACAATGGGGAAGCCTGCCACTATTTTATAGAATTTCACGAATGTATCCATAAATCGATCCCTATGCCTAGCCTGAACCCTAAATCAATCCCTATGCCTAATCTGAACCCTAAATCGGTCCCTATGCCTAACCTGAACACTAAATCAATCCCTCAACCTAACCTAAACCCTAATTCACTGCAGCAATAAAAAACACACAAAAGACGCCATGGCAGCCGTCCTCGGATTTAGCCAAATATTTCTCTGGTTATTTAAAATACAGTTGGTATGAAATTATTCCATGTTGCACTCACTTAGCATCCAACTATTTTTAAAGCTCTACATTACATTACAAGATAACAAAAGTTATGAATCACATCTCTACTGTTTATTGTTAAGGTAAAAAATTTAAAACTCAATCCAGTATTAAATTTTTAGCTTTCATAGATTAAATTTAAATAATTTGTTGAGAGACACCAAGAGTAGATACATGCTCAATCACGATTCATTGAATTCTTTTCACCTCATGGCGCTGTCCTAAAATCGGTGCCAGATGAGAAACTTATTGCACAACAGACCTATTTCAATAGTGGCATGCTACTTCATTCTACATGCCCTCAAGTCAGAGAGCACATCAATTAAGCCTACAAATGGGATGGCTTTTCCTAGACATATTTAGTTCATCATCTGTAACATACACCATAACTAAATCAATTAAAAGATACTGACTCAGGAATCAGGAGTAAGGAGAATAGTTTGTAATTGTAAGTTTGTACAATAAGAAACAATTGATTTTGATATATATGATAATGATGACAAAATGTGCCTTTTTATAACTTTAACTTTAACAAAAAATTCTAGTCTACAACCATGGCCACATGACTATTTTGGAGTGTGTTTCTAACTTACTAACTTATGTAATGATTTGAATACAAAATACTATGTTAAAAAACAAAACACGCCCCACAAAAAAAAAACAAAACACGCCCCACAAAAAAACAACAAAAAAACGAGTTTATCAACTTATATAGTAATGAAGTAAAGGGAGTTTAGTACAAATCTATCGGAGCATAATAAATATTACAGTATCTTCCCTTGTGTATGGCCGCCCCTGCCGAAAACATAGTAATGTGTAGATTTAGAATATTAATATTACTCTTTAAATTATATTTTGTTTAAAGTTGGCAACCATTCTTAGTCTTAACCGCTAAATCACTAAAGACTAAAGTGTCCAAAGCCTGTTAGTTTAATTTTAATTAAAATAATGTTGTTTTTATTGTTATTAATTTTACTCAAAAGAATTTGTAACTATAACTATGCTATTACTATTACTAAACTATGCTTTAGTTTTAGTAGGTGTAGGTAAAAAGTAAATGTAAAACTCACTAGTCTTATTAGTTTAGTATTCACACATTTCTAAAATTACAAAAATAACCTTACTAGTAACTACAGACTACTACTAACTACTGCTAGTACTAGTAACACAAGTACTAGTAACCAAGTCCAAGTTACCAAGTCCAAGTTAAAAATAAAAATAATTAGCCTACTAAAGCTAATACTAATACTAATATCAAATTTCAAATATTCCTTAACTTTGTTACTTTAACTTTGTCTTGAGCTTTAACTTTAATGACTTAACTTGTATGATGATTCATGACTGTCATCTGACCATGATGAGGTTAGAGCCTTTTATAATATTTTATAACTATTAACATTATCTTCTTAATCTTAACCTTAACATAAGTCATAAGTTTATTTTATGGCATTGTCGTCAATGTTGAATTACATAATTATGATCATACAAGTTTAAAGCAAGCAAGAAGAAATCACAAAAGTTGAGGTCATGAATGAGGTAGGCCTATCCTGCTTTGTTTTGCTTCAGAAATGTTTGTACATCTTATATTTTGCTGACATTCTAAAGTTCTTACGATTTTTAAGATTTTTACTCACAAGTAATTTTATCTCAGATTTTTACAGACCATCTGTACATTTATGGATAATTGATTAATTTATTTTTAAAGTCGTTTTTTTAAAGTCCACAACATGAACAACCAGCAGGACTCACACAGCAGGCAATCTGTCAACCATAGTAAAATTGAACAGAAGAAGAAGAGAATTTTAAAATAATTATGATGGCTAGGGACCCTAGTAACATTTATTTTTAATTCATGACTAAAATTATGTGGCTCCGATTTATTAACACTGGCTAAATAAATAGGCCTAGGTCCCTATAATTTATATTACTAAATATTAATATAAAGAAGGCCCTTAAAGTATAATAAACTAAAATAAATGACTTAACTTAAGCTACAGCTAGGTCTAATATTAAATTTTAATTTATGATTACTGGTATTTATAGTACGAGCCAGGAGGACCTACAGCAGTAGACACACTTTCATGACTACATCAACTACATGGATGAATTTCAGAATATTTCATTCATGAATTTCAGAAGTCATAAGAGCATGGTATTTTTAGTCCATCATCATAGCTTAAAATTAAATTAATGGGGAAGATTCTTATTTTCAAATAATTTAAGTTTGGCTAGAAGCCTGTGCTGTTTGCTTTCATGATTTCTGAAGTCAATTGGATTGTTATATTTAAAAAAAAATATTGTGTGTATTTAATTATTTTAATATATACTTTATATACTATTATGTAGGTTAGTTGGAGCATAGCTGCCCGAGAAAAATGACATTGTCTTAAGATCCTCCCCATGGGTCGAGCTATAGTGTCCAACACCATCTTTGGTATTTCAAAAGGTTTGATTAGTTGCCGTTTCATGAATTTTGGAGCTTGGCATACCACTTTAAAAAAGAACTTCAATTGTTACTTTCATTCTGACAGTTTTGGACAATTGTTCAGAAGAACAAAGTATGTCAGACAGACAGTTTATTTAAAAAATGTTTCTACTACTGTGATACACCTAAGACCGTTTTCAGTGACCTCAGCTTTCTGTTTCAGTGGATCTCATCCAAATATTCGAGTTAAACCAAATTTAAAAACCATGAAACTGGATTCACCAGAGTTTCATTCCATCTTCACTGCAGAGTTGTGCACTCTTGTTGAAATTTTTAAAAAATATGATTATGAGTTGCGGATTGCTGGAGGTGCTGTTCGGGACCTTCTAGTTGGCAAGGTACCATCAGATTTAGACTTTGCTACAATAGCAACACCTGCACAAATGAAGGAAATGTTCACCCAGGAAGAAATCAGGATGCTGAACATGAATGGGGAGGCTCATGGCACAATAACTGCTAGAATCAATGATAAAGTGAGTTTGTAACTTAAATGACATCACCCTAATTTTGCTGATATTGTAACTTCCGCCCCCCACCCCATCACAAAATATTCACCACACAGTTTAGAAACCTTCATAATACATCATCATGAATTTGTGACCCCCACCTCTCCTTGACATGCGTAATGTCGTATATTGGTGAAGCCTTATGATAAAGGACTATAACACCTCGTATGTTAAAAAGAGTCTGTCCGTGTAATTGTTATTAAATTATTAGTAGGTAAATCATATTCCAATCGTCTTTTGCAAATTTGATCCCTTTTAAGTTTGAAGTAGTTCTCAGTACTTATACTTTAGAAGTATTGAATTGTTTATCAAATAAATAATGAATAGCAAATCTAACTACAAAGCCTTGTCTAATTTTCTTGTTAGGAAAATTTTGAGATTACAACATTAAGAATAGATGTTGTCACAGATGGCAGGAGAGCTCAAGTTGAATTTACAAAAGACTGGATGCTGGATGCCAACAGACGAGACCTTACAGTAAACTCTTTGTTTTTGGGTAAGATAAACTATAACTAAAAGTAGCATATGTTTAAGAGATTTATTGCACAGGTCATGTGTCTGTAATTTTAGCCATTATGAAAACATTATATTTGACATAAATTGATTTATCCAAAGTCTACTTTTTAAGGTTTCGATGGAACAATTTATGATTACTTCAGTGGTGTTGAAGATTTAAAGGAAAAGAGGATTCGATTTGTGGGAGACCCTGAACAAAGAATTAAAGAAGACTATCTTCGCATATTAAGATATTTCAGGTTTGTTTGTTTTACTTCATAACACTTAATTCATAACTGATCAAATATTTCTAAAGAAATCAGTTATTATTTTTCTATTCCTAAATATACTTAACCAAAAATAATTTTCTAAACTGGACAATGGGGAACATAAAATAAACCCTACTCTCTGGAACAATTCAGAGAAGCCGCATTTTTAAGATCTTTAAAAAAATTATGTTAATGAAGAATTTCAAAAAAAGAATCAGTAGTTGATTATCTGAATGAATTTCACTTTCTTTAGATTTTATGGAAGAATTGCCCCTGGTCCTGACTTGCATGAAAAAGAAACTCTGGATGCCATTAAAGATCATGGCAAAGGATTAGCAAGTAAATTTGAATTTTATAAAAACATTAATAGTTTTAAATATTTAGACACATTTTACCAAGATTATTTAATATATTAAATTTGTTGAAAACCTTAGAAGCTTAAATGCCATTATATGCAGTCAGTCCTCGGTGATGGGGGTTTAAGGCAGGGGCCAAAGAACACATTTCTCCATTTTGTTATGTGTCTCTTTGGGTCCCCATGGTTCAGCTTTTTCTGTTTTCTAAAACTTTCCTGTGATGTGAAAAAAGGAAAAGGGGGGGGGGGGGGGGGGCTGGAATCTATGGACAAGATTAAGCTATCTCCATCAACATTCCTGTATACTTTCCATAAATTTCTGTGTAAGAGCAGTTTAACAAATTAACCATACTTCACTTGCCAAAATTAGGCTTATGGCAGCATACTTCGGTATGGTCAGCATAGGATTTTTGTGGTGTCATGGTGTAGTTGGTCACCTCTCCTTTGTTCAGAAAAAGAATGATTTCAACAACTATTGAGCAGCAACTTGTATATTTGTTTAACTAATTTTTAAAATTAATTTTTTTTTTTAGAGCAGAACAAGAAATGTGGTTTACTGTTATCTCTGGATTGACAATGTTCTCATTCTAACATTTCATTGAAATCTCTTGAAAATTTCAGATGTATCTGGAGAGAGAATTTGGGTTGAAATTAGGAAAATTCTCACTGGTCGAATGACAGCCCATATTTTAGAGTTAATGATCAAACTTGGACTGGGTCAATATATTGGTAAAATTTTATATTTTGTTTTTTCAAAATTTATATCAATTTCATTAAGTTTATTTGCAAGTGCTAGAGTTGGAATTTAGAAAAAAATAAGTATAATCTTATAATAAAAATACTAACATTAATCTTAATTTCCAGGCAGTGGATTTGAAAGGTCTCTGCAAATAAAAGAGATTTTTCAACTCCTACCTTTATTCTATTAATTTTTTTCACCTTCTTAATTTAGTATTTAACTTTAACAAGGTTTTATAAGTTATTGTATTTTATTTCAATTATCTTGGTTTGAAAATCTAATTCTTTATTTTTATCTAAAACTCAGTTAACATTAAATTATTATGTTAATGCGTAATAATTAAAAAAAATCAAAATTTATCTTGTGCATTTAATACATTGAGATAACAGGTGAAAAATATAGAGGCTCTTATCTCTTCTGAAGAGTTCTCCCAGATCTCCACATCAGATATAATTCAAGTTCATGATGTATTTTAATAGTTCAAATCTATGTCTACAACTGCAAGCTGAAGCATTTTCAATACTCTTTATAGGGCTTCCAAATGTGACTAACTTCACTGAGTTTTATCGAGTGTGTGAGAAAACTGAAGGTATCCCCCATCATCATATGACTAGAGTGTCAGCTTTGCTAGAAGATGAGGCAGATGTAAGTATGGTTGTGTCTCGTTTGTTCTTTTTTAATCAAGTTAAAATTTAAGATTTTATATTTTCCTTAATAAACAAAAGGATCAAGGTTTAACAAGAATAATTTAGATGCAATATAATTAATCAAATTAGAAGTACTCAAAACTTATATATTTTTTAATTTCAAGGACATGTTGTTTCTTGCTATGAGTTATAATTCATAGATGTTTTAGATTTCTGCAGTAAGCATAACTTCATTCAGCATTGTGTGGTTCTTCAGGTTTACAAGTTACTTGAGCGAAACAAGATTTCTAATGAAGAATTGCAGACAGCTTTATTCATTGTGCATCATCGACATGATAAAATGGAAGGAAACTTAATTGGATACTGCACTGATTTGCATACAGATTCCTCAGGCAAAGAGCCAAAAGTCACCAATAAAATAGTGGAACTGATGAAGTACTGTGGCCATGTAAGTTTGGAATAGAGCCCTAGCACAGTTTCAGTAGTTAAGACAGCAACGCAAAGAACAATTAAAATATTGGTGTTGTTTTCAATACAGAAGCAAATAAAACACTCTATAGGATCAACCTAATAATGTTTTAATCATATTTATTTGTTGGCTCATTACACCAAAAATTTGTTAGTTTAATTGCCTCTGTTCTTTATGATGGTGAAGCCTCAAATCATTCTTACTGTCCTTGTAAAAATAGTTAAACATACACTTACCTGAAATTTTAATTTTTTGTCTTTATAGTTTACCTTAGTTAAAAAAAGTCCAAATTTTTGTGTGTGAATCATTTAAATCTCTTTTATTTTCTCAGCTGGGTATTGCTGAAGAGTTCCCTAATGTCAAATTGCCAGAGTTGCCTGTTAAAGGACATGACCTGACAAAGAGCAATGTCCCTCGTGGACCTAAATTTGCCATGACTCTTAATGAACTGCGAAGAATTTGGAAAGAAAGTGGATATACACTTAAAAAAGAGGATCTGATTGAGAAAATACCTGAAGTTTTAGAAAATCTTCCAAAGAGCACGAAAAAGATGAAAAATAAGTAAATTGTGATTTTAAGAGAGTTCTGAATAAATTTTGATGTTCACAATGTTTTATTTAAATTTATTTTATCAAATCGTTCTCTCTGAATTTACAATTTTAATTAATTACTTCTGTGCTTCACTGCCTGCTACCCTTAGAATGGTTTCCTGTAGGTTACCCCACTCACATAGCAACAATAGTAGGTCATGATGTTGCTGTTGTTCCTGGTAATGGTGGGTATAAACTACAAAAACTAACTTATTCCAGTAATGTCAGCTGAGGCATTGTGATTTTTTTTAAAAACAAAGAGTAAAAACAAGTTGTTTCATTTTGGTGGTTAGGCAGGTGGGCCTTAGGACAGAAGGTAAATTTAGAATTTTATCATAACTGTGGGACATACACATTCTAAATGAAAAAAAATGGGTGGGGGGTGTTTCATCCACAATATTATAATTTGATTAACGGTGGTTTTATGATGTTTATTAACACAGAATTTTGTATAACTTGTTACAGTACAATTTTAATATCTCTCAAGATACCAGTTAGTCCTTTCCTTTATAACAAATATATGAAAAATGTTGGTTGAAAAAAAATTCTTGAGTAAACAAGAGTTATGGACTCGAATCTATGTCACTAAATAGTATAACACTCAGTAAAACAAAAGCTTAGTTTTATAACTTTATATTTTATTTATATATATGTCAAGTTTTATTTTTCAAGGATATGAAAACATTTGATATGCTCAGCTGGGAAAAAAATGCTTCAAGTAAACAATATATTACACAACCAATGAAAAAAAGAACAATAGCTGGTTTAACTTACAGAACCTCTTTTACATTTTGCTTAAATTTGAGAGCTAGTTTGAATCAACATATACTCCGGTTATTACTGAAATCCGAGACAATATATTGCAAAAGGTTATCTGAAGCAAATTCATTTTTACACAATCAAAGTCCATTTACTTTTCTACAAAAGTAACCCAATGCTACTTTAACCATGGCAAGTTTGATCAAGAGATCTGAACTAACAAACTAATTAAATTATCAAAATAAAATAAAATATATTCAAGCAAGACTAATTGTAATAAAATTATTTGGAATGTTTTCCATACTTTAAAGAACAGCTAATTATGATACCAGTCACATGTGATTAGTGAAAGACTAGAGCTTTACAAAACATTAATTTTTTTTTTTACAGAAACAAACCTAGATATTAATTTAAATCTGACGTTCTCATGCCAAAATTTTTTACTTGCCATGCACCATTCTTGTTTAAATTATAGCTCATTTTATAGTTATTGAATTCATATAACAGAATTTCTATATTCTACAGTTAACTGCAAACTGTCTTCCTTCCAACTCTTACAAATTTTTACTATAGAAACTCAATGTTTCCCTGAAGAATGCAAGGATCTGTTATGATTTTGAGTAAGTAGTTGAAGACTGAAGCCTACATTTGTATATCACTAAGACAGTACAATTAAATTAATTATTTTAAATAAATGATGCTATAGTCACTGATGAAATAACATGGACATGTATTATACAAGAAAGCTCACAATGAATTTGTCAACTCTTCTTGTTTACTGATGTATTAAACTAAATTATTCATCAGATACTACACCAAACCTCATTTTGTTAAGTAACAACTTAAAAATATGTATTCAGGAAGTTCATGAACAAACATCTTTTTTATGGTATTTGAAATAAAAGGACTCATTCAGAAAAGGAAATATGGCTTATAGCTGGTAATCCATTCAATTATATTTAATCATTGTTGATCTCCAGCTAAATATATTCTAAAATAAATTATAAAATAATTAATTCATTCACTTAACACTTTTTTTTATTTTTAATTTTTTTTTTACCATTTTAGCTGAACATTTTTGCATAGCAGCATACACATGTTCAGGACTTCCCCATAAATACATATTTTTTAAAGCTATTTTTTTGTTTGGAAGACTAGTTGTTTAGTAGGTTGCAGTAAATTTATGCAATTAAATGTTTTTTAGCACCGAAATTCTAACGTAGATTTTTTTTAGTCATATAATGCTAGAACCTGACATTCTAACGTAGATATTTTATTCATATAATGCTAGAATCCACAAAACTAAAAATAAGTAACATGTCACAAAGCTAAAAAAAAAAATTAACTATATCCTGCATGCTACTCTATTGAAAGTTATATCAAACCCACCAAATAAAAGTTACACAAAATGTAAGTCACTTGCACTTGTTGATTTTATACAAAAGCCAGGTTAAAAAACTTCTTTGTACCATCTCCCTAATTTATCTTTATTAAAAAAAATATCAGCTTCTATTTGATTCAGGTATTAGTTAGCTGTAAATAGCTCTATTTGTTCCCTACAATAGTGTTCATATTTACAAGAAAAATCTTATAATAAACTGTTAAGATAGGATAATTGTATAAATATATATATATATGTGTGTGTACTATATACTTTAATTATTATTATGGGAACATAGGTGATGATATGAAAATATCATTTAAATATATGCCTCTTTTCACAATGCAGAATCATTGCGAGTTTGAAATGAAGAGAAATAACAAAGAAAAGTCTTAAAAAATGACTACTGTACAGTCTCTCATAAAGACATTGCGTATAATATACTTTTAGTCTTATATACAATTATATGTTCACATTTTTTGCTAGACGCAGTAATATCAATCCAATGCTCAGTTGTAAGAAAATCTATATACATAAACACTTTCTGTCATTACAGAATTAGTTTACAACTCACAATTAGATACATGAACCTCCCCCCCGAACAACTGAGACAATAATCACATGAACCAATAATGACAAAGAAACATGTATTGATGGTGATCATTAGGCTTGCTTAGCTTGAATGATACTTTAGCTTAAAATGGGGGAGGGGGGGGGGGGGGAAAGAAACAATGCTTTACTGTTAACAAGTTATGTGTGAATGTTTAACATTGCAAAACATAAGGTGATGAGAAGTGTACACAAATTGCCAATCATCAAATTCAACATTGGAAGACTTAAAAATTGTGCTCACTTTTGCTCCACATGCACACTTAAGATTTTTTTTTTCATGTTAAAATGTCATATCAAAAGCACAGTCAATTTATTAAAGACTTGTATAAAAAAAACTCTGCACAGATAGAAACTTGTAATATTGATCCATAAAAAAAAAGGTGAAAGAGATCTCAAACCACAGATACTTCTATATTAGGTTTCTAAAGTCTTTGAAATGCAAAAACATAAATAAATGGAATGATTGGCTTAGCATTCAGGACATGGGATAAGACTAGAGAAGGGTGGGTTTCATTTACTTGTTACAAAGATAACCTTTTAGTAAATATTTGTGTATAAAAAGTTTATACAAGTTACAGCTATGGATATATCATCAGAAAAAACAACAAAACAAAGCATAATTTAAAGATACTTGAAATGTATTACATTTTTGTTTGTTTGTGTTCCTCATCTGCACATGTAAATTGTAACCATTTGCCTACTCCCAATATTTGTTGATAAATTTGTGTTATTCTGATGTGTCAAAAATTATTAAGGTTCCAAGGAAAATCGATTGGGAGCTTTGGACTGTGCAAAAGAAGTGAAGTCATGGGAGCTTTGGACTGTGCAAAAGAAGTGAAGTCATGGGAGCTTTGGACTGTGCAAAAGAAGTGAAGTCATGGGAGCTTTGGACTGTGCAAAAGAAGTGAAGTCATTAATTCACTTATTTTTTTATGCAGGGACCTTAGCTTTTTTTTTTTTTAAACTAACAAAAAACAACATACTGTTGTAATGACGGAGAAGATTTCATTAAAATAAAAATTGACAACAATAAATGAGCAACTGGCCTTTGTAGATTTCAATGATATCAATTAATGATATCACTTACCGTGATAAAAGCAAATGTAAAGAAGCTTATTTAAATGTGGGGTAATTAAAACTTTGGTTCAGGACACTATACACAATATTATAATAAATAGTTGGGATGTAATAAAAAAGGTTTACACTTCACGCTATACTGTTTGGCCTAATTAAAATTTAAAGGATCATCACTTACATAGAACTGTCTACCCATCCCTAAAGCATGAGTGGGCAACCTCATATTGTGACCAGGTAAATGGTAATAGTTTTTTAATGGTCAGTTCACCACTTTGTGCAAATCATGGAAAGAAGAAGATGAATGAGAAAGATTTGTATGGGTCAGTTAATCTGCTACTTTAAAGGTTTGAAAGAAATCTTTCAACTTAGTGTCAAGAAAATGAATACATTTTTATGCTTATTTATATTCTTTGTTATTTTCTGGCAGTAGCAGCAATGCACTTTAAATATCCCTGACCCCGGCCAGCAAGAACCAGAAAAATGGTGTTTCGACTCAATGAAAACAATATATATAACAATAACTAAATGAAGTAAAACAGGATTCAATAACTTTAATATAATTTCTGTTACATTTCGTGGTAGCAAGTCATAACAACTTTAAATTACACTGATTAATGTACTTTTTAAATGTTTTGATCTATCCTGGGGAAACAAACTAAATTAAGAATTAATAAATGGCTCATCCAAGAGAAATTATTTATTTGCATAATAACCTGTATGATCATTCTACAATCACAAGGTGACTTTTCACAACAAATGGTTGCCTCAGTTGCATTTTAATCTATTTTTAAAATTGTAAAGCCACTAACATCACATATGGGTTTTTTATTTTACTTAGTCGCTGCTTTTAATGAAATGAGACTCAAATAAATTATTCAAGTTAGGTATCTCAAGCTTTTAAAATTTTTTGCGTGGATATTTAGAAAAAAAATATGATATGTTAGTTTCAACGTTTCTATACTCATCACAGATCAAATCACAACCAAAAAAAAAATCTTCCTTTTAAACAATGTATACAATAACTTGAAAAACATTTTTTTTAACAATCTCTTTTCCAGTTAAGATGGTAAATAAGACATGGTCTCCAACCTGATATTTGGAGCTTTGACATAAAATTTAAAAATCATAGTCAAGAAATAGATTTTAAAAACTTAGACCAGGAAGTAATTATATTGGACCGTTTCAAATGAAATCACTAAAAGCAATTTTAATATCTTAAGTATTGAGCCATTTTAAGCCTTCCCTTTCGCCAGGTCTATGCATCACACTACCAAACTGAACTGTCTCACTCACACAGTTGTTACTTAGCGGCAGTCAACGATGAACAGGTTTTAAGTACTGCCCCACTTTTTAACGAGTTTAATGAAATGGCCAACATCATAGTAATGGCATGTCATAAAATGAAAAACATATGACATCTATAATGTCCCCCACTAGTTACTGAAGATTTTATGCTGCTCATGATGACTGAGTAATGATGGGGGATGGCCATGGCACTTAATACCCTAACACTGATTCATCACTCTCAATAAGAGGATATTTCTTTGAACATCTAACTATGAAACAATAGTGTTTTTTTTTTTAAATTTAAAAGGAAAATAATTTTAATAGTCAAAATAAATGTTCAAACACTGGCAGCCATATTCAAACATTTTACTCAACTGAAGTTCTTCGACAGGTTTTGTTATTTACTTCATTGATTGGAGTTCCAGAGAAACACTCACATATTGAATTGTATTCCAAAGAGACAAGAAACCAGTATAGCTTCACCTGTCACGCTGGTAAATCCCATCCAACTTAAGAGCATCTGGTTTGCTTGTTCTGAAATCCTTTCATGAGAATTCAATTCATTTTCTTTTGGAAAGAAATAAAGTACTACACAGCAAATCTGGTTGGATTAGGTAGCGGTGCACCCTAAGGCACCACGATGTGTCAAGTTGATAATCCGCTCATTGTCTTGAAACATAACTGTAACACTCTGCCAATAACCGCTAATCCATGTCCTTGTGAGAAAAAAATATTCCACATTGAAAAAGTTTTTAACTGATCATAAATTTTCAAGCCAAGTTGCCGGCACCCACTGGGGCTCCATTTCTATCCTGTTGATTTCCTCCAATAATTCTATGTATGCTCGATCCAGCTCACTGTTGACCAGCACAAAGTCAAATAAGTGTCCATAGACTTCCTCCATCTCACGAGCTCTGTCAATAATCTCCTTGAGTTGATCATCCTGAGGATGAAATGTTTCACATTATAATGATGAAGGTTATAACAGTACAGCTCAGACTGGGGATTTAATGTCTTTCACTCTGAAACATTATACCTCAGAGGCAAGTTTAAAGAATCATTTTTTTTTTTTTTAAATGTTAAAATTACCTGCTAAAAATTTTTTTTCACAGTATGATCAGATGCCCCTCCACCCATTTATAACCCCTTTATTTCAAGTTTTGACTAAAAATAAAAAAATCAACATCCAGGGGCTCATTACTTTTAATAATGTAACTGGTGTATGAGAAAGAGCTCAGCTGACAGTATGGATATTTAAAAAAAAAAATGCAGCTTTAATTAATAAAATCCCTTTTGCAAAAGCTTAATATCAAAATTGTCTCATTTGAATATTTTTATCATTGTCACTAGCATCTCTTAAGTTTAATGTATTTAAAACTAAACTTTTCCACACATAGAGCCTACATTAGTAAATAACTTACAGAAAAAACAGTTCTTCCTCTGACCTCAACATCATCCTGAAATGAATAATCAAACAATACAAGAACAGCTAAGCTCAATTGTTTTCACAAGGGAATAAAGGAGAAACAAAATGGCACACATCAAAGTGACAAATTTTAATAGCGTTTAAAAAAAAAAATAATTTTTTTTTGATATAAGTAGAAGTGGTTTACAGTTTCTAATACAGATTAACAAACTCACAGGAAGCCCAGCTTTGTTCAGCTGATCTTGCAACTGTCTTAATTTGTCCAGGTTAGGGGGACACACAAATATTACATAAGGCTTTAAATCAGATGCACACATCAGTTTTAAAGTCTGTGAAAAAACAGAAAAGCATTTTAATATACCTCCAGAATAATAACAAAGGAATAACTATTTAAAAAAACAAACTTATATTAAAAAAGTGTTTTTATTGACAGCACCGGCCAGCTAGATGGTCTCCATAGTGTTCAAGTAGCCACTTTCAAAGCTTACATTATTGACTATCTCTGTGTGACTATGAGGGCCTCACCTCTGGCTGCTGTTTGAGCAAGCAAACTTTTCCTTGCGCTATGACATCTCTGATGGCGTCATAGGAAGTGCCGTACTGATATTTTTGGTGCTCTCCATACTCCACAAACCTATTCTGCTGGATCATAAGATTGAACTCCTCACGTGGGATGTGGTGATAAGCACTGCCCTCAATCTCATTGGCTCTTGGATGGCGTGTTGTATCTGGAGATTACAAAAACAAAACTTTAATGTTTATTTCTGTAGACCAGACCTACACAACTCAAAATGCAAGGCGGGCCGTAATACTTTATGAAAAACTTGAGCGGGCCAAAAGAAAATAGGACAAGACTTCTACGGGCCAAAAGAATACAGGTCATTGGGAAAGCTATTAAGAAAATAATAAGAATATTTCGTTACTTCGCGGGCCGCAAAGTGGGTGCTGGCGGGCCGTATGTTGTACAGGCCTGCTGTAGACAATTATTATAAGATCTCAAATTGCTTTAATATAATCTAGGCCGAACATTGTGAGGTTCCTTTTCAAAGTTTCCTGAACATATTTAAGTGGTAAAATATTCAAAAGAAATCTTGGAAAGAAACGTGTGTCACCATAGGAAAGAAACGTGTGTCACCATATGAAAGAAACGCGTGTCACCATTGGAAAGAAACGTGTGTCACCATAGGAAAGAGAAAAAGAAAAGACTGTAGTATTACTTACGAGGTATCGGTGTGCCAAATCTGTCAGGGTCAGCATCTAGC